ACTGTCAGCCATTAGTAAGTAAAATAATTAATCTTGTATTCTACATTGCACTGTGGGTAGGCTGGGTAAGCAGGAGTTACCAGCAAATCTTGAGTTAAACCTGAAAACCTAAAATAAGTAATGAAACTGGATATAGTGTTGCTGGCTTTTATGGTCGTTATTTTTAATGATGAATTTGCTAAATTTTCCCTAAAATGATTCCTTGAACAAAAAGGAAAGCTAATGAGCTGATTTCTATAGCTCCTTTCTTATTTTAATTAAATTTATTGGGGTGACATTGGTTAATAATCTATAGCCCCTTTCAAATGAAATAAAACAGACTAGCTACACTCTCTTCAATCTCAGTTTCCTAAACTTCATTTATTTCAGCCCTTTTTCCAAAATTATTCTATTGTCCCTCGTAAGCTGTACTGTTATTTGCTTTTTTCACCTGTAAATCAACCCACTTTTTTTTTTTCTTTTATCCTCACCCGAGGACATTTTTCCATTTTTTTGTTCAGATAGAGTGGGAGGGAGAGAGAGAGAGGGAGAGAAACATCGATGTGAAAGGGACACATCGAGTGACTGCCACCCGCACAACCCAACCAGGGCCGGGGACAAACTGCAACCGAGGTACATGCCCTTAGCGGGAACCGAAACTGGGTCTCTCTAGACCGCAGGCCACCGCTCTAACCGCTGAGCCAAACTGGCCAGGGCTCAACCCACTTCTTAAACTGTATATAAATTTGTTTAAAAGGGAAAGCTATAAAAGGGGAAACATTTATTAATCTCCAAGTAGAGGGTAAATGTAAAATAAATACCATGACAACTAAACTTACACTTCTTAACGATAAATGTAGTTTAAAATATCTTAAACTGCCCTGGCCAGTTTGGAGCGGTTAGAGCATTGGCCTGCAGACCAGCCAAGGGCACATACCTCGGTTGTGATTCGTCACCAGCCCTGGTTGGGGTCGTGCGGGAGACAGCCAGTCAGTGTGTCTCTCTCACATCGATGTTTCTCTCTTTCTTTCCCCTTCCCACTCTACCTGAAGATATTTGAAAAAATATCCTCGGGTGAGGATTTTTAAAAAATCTTAAATTATGAATTTAAAATAAAATAGAGGAAATGTGCCCTGGCTGGTGTTGCTCAGTGGTTGAAGCATCAGCCCACACACGGAAGGGTCGAGGATTCAATTCTGGGTCAAGGGCACATACCTGGGTTGTAGGTTTGAGCCCTGGCCCCGGATGGGGCAAGTGGGGGAGATAACCAATCAGTTTCTCTCTCTCCTCCTCCTCCTCCTCCTCCTCCTCCTCCTCCTCCTCCTCCTCTTCCTCCTCCCTCCCTCCCCTCCTCCTCCCTCCCTCCCTCCATCACACTCTCTAAAAAGCAATGGTAAAAATATCTTTAGGTGAGGATTAATTTTATTTAAGTGGAGGAAATGCAAGTAATGTGTCTAATTTATTGACACTATGAAAAACTTAACATGTGCTAGTTTAATTCTCACAATGACTCTTCAAAGTAAATGTGATCTCCACTTTTACAGATGATGGCTCTGAGCCCCAGAGGAATGAGTAAATTGTCCAAGGTCCCAGAGTTTGGGGAGGGCAGAGCAGGTCCATATGAGGCAAGAATCCTCGAGGACTGCAGGACAGAGTCCCCACGTTTCACCTTCTCTCTCATTCATCCAGGCCGCCCTTCCTAAGAACCCCACCCCCGTTCCTAGGAACTCCACCCAAATCCTGTGCCGAAAGTCCCAGGATACACAACAACTTAGGTTTTTACCAAGATATGGTTAAACTTTGGGGGTTTTTGTGACAAAAAAGAAAAATTACTATTTGCATCAGGAAATATTCACAACTCTTCTTTTACAGTTTTCAGCTTCCTTCTAAGCCTAGTAGACCCTAAGCAGCTGATTAATGGATATGAGATGCAAATAGGCTGCACATGATCTAAATCTTTCTGGCAGAGAAAAGGAATGGGGTGGAATGGGGGAGCAGGGAAGGGAGAACCAAGAAGCGGCTCCGGGGAGGTGAGACAAGAGGAAACCTAGCACCAGAGAGAGAGAGAAAACTGGTATCACCCAAGGAAGACCCCGAGGAAAGGACAGAAAGGGAGGCACTTGATAACTTTTTTTCCAAGTGATGTGTGATGTCATTCATCTTCTTCCATGTCTGATTCTGTATTTTTTTTCTAATACACTAAAGATAATCACAATACAATTTCAGGTGTTCACCTGTGTAGCACCTGAAATTATTCCGCATCCCTCTCCTCCAGGGGAGCACCTGTACCACGGAAACCGCCACAGACGTCACCACTTCTGTGGCTTTAATTCCATCTCGAGGATGATGACTTGGAAATTTATATTTTCCACCAACCTCTTCCCAGAACAACTGCCATCTCCATTTAGATGTCTGATACTTTATTTATGCCCCTACTACGTTCCAGACACACCGGTCCACCTTTGCTATTCCCTCCACCTTTCCCTTGAGGGTGTTGCCTGCCCCGTTTCTAATGCTCAAAGATTACCTCCTCAGAGAAGCCTCCCTGGACCATCCTAACAAAGTAAGCACGCCTCCCTCAGTTACATCACCCTACCAATCGTAAGACCATCCTACAACTACATCCCCTTGTTTCCTTCATGCACAATCTATACCTTTTGTTTATTTTGTTGTTTGCTTAACTTTACATCTCCATCTGCTAGAACATAAACTCCATGTGTTAGGGATTCTCTCCTTTTTGTTGAAGAGGACCTTGTACATGGTAGGTGCCCAATAAATAGTTGTTGATTTAGCCCTGGCTGGTTTGGCTCAGCGGTTAGAGCGTCAGCCTGCGGTCCACAGAGACCCAGGTTCGGTTCCCGCTAAGGGCATGTACCTTGGCTGCAGTTTGTCCCCAGCCCTGGTTGGGTCGTGTGGGTGGCGGCCACTCGATGTGTCCCTTTCACGTCGATGTTTTTCTCTCTTCCTCTCTCTCCTTCCCGCTCTATCTGAGTAAAAGATGGAGAAAATGTCCTCGGGTGAGGATTAAAAAAAAAAAAAAATAGCTGTTGATTTAACAAGCAGATTAATCTGTGATGACTGATAATAAATGATTCTATGAGGACAGAGTCTACAGTGTCTCATATCACCATTGATAATGGCCACATAGTAACAAACAAGATTTTACAGCGCTTATAGTTTTGTTTTAATTTTTTAAAATCCTCACCCAAGGATACTGTTTTGAGAGAGAGACATAGATAGAGACAGAGACAGAGAGAAACGCCAATCAGTTGCCCCCTGAACGCACCCCAACCAGTGATCAAATCCACAACCAAGTATATGCCCTAACCAGGAATCAAACCTACATCCCTTTGGTGCATGGGACAATGCTCCAACCAGGGCAGCCCTTGATAGTTATATGAGCACATTCTTATAGGTTATTACTATGGTCTGAATGTTTGTGTCCCCTCAAAAATTTATATGTTGAAATCCTAATTCCCAAAGGTGATGCTATCAGTAGGTGGGCCCTTATGCTATAATGTGATTAGTGCCTTATAAAAGAGGCTCCAGCCCTGACCAGTTTGGCTCAACAGTTAGAGCATCAGCTCAAGAACCAAGGAGTCTGGGGTTCAATTCCAGCCAAGGGCACATACCTCGCTTGCGGTTCGGTCCCTGGCCCTGGTTGGGGTCGTGTGGGAGGCAACCAATTGATGTTTCTCTCTCTCTCCCCCTCCCACTCTATCTGACGATATATGGAAAAATATCCTCGGGTGAGGATTTTTTTTAAAAGAGGCTCCAGAGAGCTAGCTCCCAACTGTATCCACCACATGAGGATACAGCCAGGAGACATCAGCTATGAACCTGGAAGAGGGTCCTAACCAAAACATGACCATGCTGGCACCTTGACCTTGGACTTCCCAGCCTCCAGAACTGTGAGCAACAAATTTCTGTTGTTTATAAACTGTGTGGTCTTAGCATATGATCTTAGCTTAGTTTAGCTTACACTGTTCTATAGTATTTTGTTATAGCAGCCCAAACGAACTAAAACAGTTACCAACATTTTTATTTCACTAGAACCTGTCAAGGTAGATACCTATTTTTTTTTTTTATCTTTATTTTACCCCTAAGGAAACCCAGGCTAGGCAGGTAAATATAACTGGAGGGACACTAGATGAGAAAACTGATAAGCTGTCAGAAGTGCAGATGATGCCAAGTGAACATGTCCTTTTTTCTTACTAAGGTGACCAATCCTCCTAGTTCTCCTAGGACTGTCTTGGTTTTCAGACTGAAAGTCCTGCGTCCTGGGAAAACCAGGATGATTGGTCACCTTTTTTTACCCCAAAAAACTAAATAAGACACTAGACACTTAATGCAATTGGATCCTTGGCCATTGAAAATGCAATGACTAAAACATGGGGGATGGGGTTTAGAATCTCAAGATAGCAAGTTACATGATACCTCATTGATGAACCCACTCAGCTTACTTCGAAGGAATGCTGAGACAGGAAGTCATTAATAACCTTCTGAAAAGGAGCGGACACCTAGAGATGCCGTTTATGGTTTTACCCTGGAAGATAAAGATGGTAAGTAGGTCAGCCTGGCTACCAAGCTTCATGCTTTCAGACTGAATCTGACTCACTAGAAGTCCAAAAGGTATGCTGGGCAGTAGTGGAACCAACTCGGGCAGGCACCCTGACCAGGAGAAGCCAGCTTATTATTCCAGAGAGGAAAATTCTTCCTCTTCCAAATCAACATTTTTTTTTCCAATATGTTGGAAGACTTGACTTAATCATTCTGATAAAGTAACCATAACAATTTCACATGTGGTGTGTGTGTGTGTGTGTGTGTGTGTGTGTGTGCACATTGCAGGGAGGTAATTATTGCATAGGTGGCATTGTCTGCTCATCTAGGTAGAGACTGTAGTGTTCATTCATGCCATTGGGTAATTGAAGTGAAGCAATTATGTATCATATTTTGAAAGAGGCATGTAAAAAAATCCACCACTAGATGATTCAGACTTAATTATCTTGTCTTTGCGGCAGCTGAGTTCAAAGCTCAAGTGAAGAACACACTGACTTCAAAGGCAGAGGGAATCGAAGGTGCTCCCCAGTTTTGGACTCTTCCCCTGCTTAAGGTAAGAATCACGAACAAACTTCAGTCTCTGCCAGCGCACGATCTCCTGATGGGGGTTACCTGCTCACTGGAGATGTCCCAGATCTCTGAGTTAGCATTGTCTGCCTTGGTTTTTCTGTTTTGTTTATTTGTTTTTTATGTCATTCGTGCTCACCCAGCAGAATTTAGAATTTGTCGACTACATGCTCAGTTTCGCGTTGTTCATCAGTGTTAAGAGGGTTGCTCAAGAGTCTGGACTTATTTTTGCTTCCATTTCAATGGGGAACCCAGCACAGTGGCAGAATATTCCCACTTGTGTCTCAACCAGTGTAGTTAGGATTCAGGAGCTGCTGTGATCTCTCTGCTTTGGGGCCAAGACCCTCCCAGAGCAGATGACCCTCCCACGTGCTGAAATGTTTAACTTGTCTGTGTTGTGTATGAAGTTTGGGGAAGAAAGACTCGGTATAAATTTTCAAAGCCCTTGTCATTAAAGATCTTGATATAAAATCAGATGTGTAGGCTGAATCTCTTGAAATATTCTTCAGTTCTTTCCATATCCCATACTATTGATTTAGACTTCTTACATACATTTTTTTCTTCGCCATTAGGTTGGAATATTCTTTTTTTTTTTTTTTAACTGATATGAGAGAGAGAGAGATTTGTTGTTCTGCTTATTTATGCATTTATTGGTTGTTTCTTGTATGTGCCCTGACCAGAGATCAAACCCGCAACTTTAGGGTATTGGATAACGCTTTAACTAAACTACTCTGCCAGGGCAGGTTGGAGTATTCTTATAGTCTAGGCTTCTTTAAACTAATTGAACTTAATTTTTCAACCTTTGCCTTTGTTTAAACGGCTACATTTCATTCATTCATCACTTCTTTAATCATTTTTCCAGAGTCTGTCAAAGCTCTTCCCCCATGAGTGGTAATGGCAAATTGATCTGTCTCAGGAATTTTCTCAATTTTACCAGTTTTCCTATTTCTAGTCATCGGAATAGCTCAGGCAAGGGCCATCTAATTTAGAAGTGTTACTCTGTCCATATGTTGGCATGGGAATGTAATGCGTTCTGAGGCTTTGAATCTTAGAAAGAAGCAATTCCTGAGAAGCAACAAGATGGGTAACTTGGCTGGCAGGGTTTTTAAATCATCTTGGATCCCTTGTTTTTAACAGGCAACTCACCCTGCCCATACTTGTCAGCCAAATTACTTAACCTTTTAGGAGTCATTTCCTTGCTTGACAAGGTTCCTTTCCTCCCCAGCCCACAAATTATTATCCTAACCAAACAATTCAACTAAAAGTTACATACAATCCATCCCTTTATAGCCCGGTAATTTTATTCACCCATAAAAATTTTAGAGAAAAAAATGTTTTTCTGTAAGCAATTTTGAGTTCCTGGATCTCCATCAAAGTGGACCACTTCAGAAGCTTTCTTTAACCAAGAAGGGAAAACAAGTTTTTGCTGCTGGAAGGCATGTAAAACCTCACTTTTGCCCAAGAAAAGACAAAGGTATTTGTACTTGATGCTTAAAAATTTTCAGATGCTTAGTGATTTTTTCCACATAGAAGATGGTATCAAGGAACTCCTATTTAAAATTCCCAAATGAAAATGATAATTCTAGCATTTATCAAGTCATCAAATGACAAAAAAAATTATAAGCACTAAAAGCAGGAGCCAGAAGAACAAGATTTGAGTCCAGGTGGCTGATTTCCTATGTGGTCTCAGGTCGTTCAGACTCTCTAAGCCTCTGCTCACGTGTCCAAAACGGAGGTCGCATAACATCCACCTCAAAGAATTGTTCTGAGCTTTGTAAATAGTAAAGAAATAAAAATGTATTATTTTAGTTGTGATTCCATGAGCAAGGAATATCTCTGCTTTGATTGACCGTGCTTTTTCACTGTAGAAATGGAGAGCTACATGTTTGATGGTTTGGTTTTCTCAGTTTTTCACCATGCTCTAGAACGTTTCTTAGCTAACCAGGAACTATAAGCCAGTCAGTTGGTCAGTAAATATTTATTGAGGTATTCCAATGTGCCAAGCAGAGATATAATTTCTACCTTAATTTGCATGCAGTCTAATGGGTACAAATTTTTTGATCTAACATTCTCTCCCATTGCTTTCCACTGGTATGAAAAATACTTTCCTCTTTTGAAAAATATGTCTTATGCCTGCCTTGGCATGACACATTCATTTATAGTCTTTTGCCTACAGATATTAGCATGACTATACATTCATATGGCCTCATCCTTTGTTAAAATGTGGAACTACTTCTATACCAGCTGGTGAATAGCCACAAACCTGAGCCCCAGGAGTGTTCCCCTTACTCTCATGGCCCCATTCATCTCTGCTACCCCCTGTCCAGGACCCCTTGACCACCCCCCAGGTAAACTAAGGATTAAGGAAGGCCTAGCACAGATGTCAGCTGGACCTAGCTCCTGAGTCCATTCTGGGCATAAGATGTTAGTATCATCCTGCCTCCCAGAAAATGAAAGAGTTCACACGTGCTTACCCACGCCTCACATTTCTTCCACCTTTCAGGTCACTCATTGCTTGACCAGAGACCTTCCTCTCCTACTCGAGTCCCTTCCCTTTAGCTCTTAGTCTCATTCCTTTGTGCTTTCTTTAGTGTTGTCTGCACCCTGATCATCCTCCAGCACCTCTTCCTAGCCCTAGCCTGACATTGATGCCCAGATTCTTTCTGTAGATTGTCCTCTAAAACCCAAACAAACTCCATAGGGCTGAAACAGCACACTAAATACATACAGCCACAGCAGTGTTAAAATATTGAAATAATTAAGTATTAATAGTAAACAGTCACTACTACTCTGAGTCCCCACTCCACCCCTAGTACCACAAACACTTCTCCTGTCCTCCCCTTGATTCAAGACCTAATCTCCTCGACTGTGTACCAGGACTGTGGCCAACACTTGTTCTCGTGGGTGCATGCGCCCTGCAGTGTATAGATGCTTTTTCAATCACCTCTGCGAGGAACTATAATGTGTGAGGTATTTATGATTCATTGATTCATTCTACCAATACTTATTAATCACTCACTGTGTCCAAGACACTGAGCCGAGCTCCAGGACCTCCAAACTGGATGAGGTCCATGCCATCATGGTGCTTACATTCTGGTAGGAGAGACAGACAATAAGCAAGAAAATGGACATGCACACATGAATAAATGTGTATTTGGGAAGTCAGAAGTGGCTTCAGAAAGAGGGCTGTGTTTAAAATGGATCTTACAATGCACAGGGTTTCTGCAAGCCTGGGTGAAGGGGGACAACATAAACATAGGCATTGGGCAGGAAACACAGCATGTGTTTAGGAACCACTGTCAATTTGTCTGGACAGTGGGATACACAGAGAGGGCTCCTGGGAGATGAGGTGAGAAATGTAAGCAGGTTGACTGAGCCAGCCTCTTCTCACACCTGAAGGTGGACTCATGCCAAATAGAACAGACACATAGTAGATACACAATTCTCAACCCCATGGCCCTCCAGCAAAATACCCACGTGAGCATTCACTAGTCTGAGCTTAGGCCCTCTGTATGAGTTGGGCAGCTTGTGCACTAGACAAATACCAGCCCAAGGGGTGAGTGGGGCAGCCCTTGCTCTCCCCATACTGGATACACAGGTGTGGGGTTTTCCTAGAACACTTTTCACTGGCCCCATTTGTGTCAGATGGCATCTTTTCCCATTTCACACAGAAGCCCAAGATAAGGTTAGCAACAGCCCTACTCAGGTACTCCCTTCCCTGGTCAGACTTTTTTATTCTTTCAAATAAATCCTCTGGGACACTCTTTTGTCTACATCACCACATTCCCACTTCTACAGCCTTGCCCATAAGCCCACACAAGCTGCTGTATCAAAGCTCTCCCTTATCTTGACCAAGCACCCCACACACACACACACACACCTCTTACGGTGACCCCTTTACGTTCATCCAGATTGTTCCTGAATCCCAACCCCTCTTGAATCCTTTCCTGCCCCACCCTTCCCTCTGTCTAAATGCATGGCTCCCACACTCCCTATTCTTTGATTACCCCTACAAATGTTTCTCTAATTTGTTTCCTATTTCTGTGTTAACTTGTTGGGTATTAGTCACCTGTGGGTCTTTGCCATGTGTGAATGCAGCAATGATAGCTTACTGAGCTATAAACTCCCAAAGCTACAAATAAGACTTGTGAATGTATTGCTCACTTGGCTGTCATTCAAAGGAACCCGTGTCACTGTTGCTGTTGGGACCTGTGCTTCATTCATCAAGAAAATGGGGGTGACATTAATTCACTGAGTCCATTAATTCAACAAATACGCATTGAACATTTAATATATGCCAAGCACTAGCAATATAACAGTAAAGAAGATGTAGTCCCTCTCCTTAGAGAAGATGTTTATTAAGATATTTTTGTGTGCCCTGGTCAGTTGCTCAATGGTTAGAGCATCGGCCCCACGGACTGAAGAGTCAGGGTTTGATTCCCGGTCAAGGGCACATACCTCAGTTGCAAGTTCAATCCCTGGTCCCAGTCAGGGTCATGCAGGAGGTAGTCAATTGATGTATCTCTCTGACATCAATGTTTCTCTCTCTCTCTCCCTCTCCTTTGCTCCCTCCCACTCTATCTAAAAAAATCAATGGAAAGGTATCCTTGGGAGAGGATGTTTTTAAAAAAAGATATTTTTGTGTATTTACTCTGTGCCAGGTATTATACCAGCTTCGGAGATATAAAGGTAAGGCAGTGCCTGTAATGAAAGACAGACAAGTAAAGACGATCACAATACAGGATGGTACACAGCAAGGTCAAGGACTGATCCAAGTGCTGTGAGAAGTCAGAAGGCTAACCTGGCCCACTTCACAATCTCCAGGAAGAGACATTCATTCATTCAATCTAGCAATCATTGAGTATTTACCCATTGCCTACTGTGTGCCAGTCACTGTTCAAGGTGCTGAAGTGATAAAATTCTTCCCCGTGACACCTAAAAATTCCAGTAAGAGAGGCAGGCAATAAACAAATAAGTAACCATAGACTGCGCTAAATGATGATAAGTGCCTGGAGAAAAATAAAGAAGGAGGGGCATAGGGAATATCAGGGTCATGGTGGGGGAAGGTCCTTGTTTTGTATAGAGTGGTTAGGAAAGGCTTCACAGAAATAACACCTGAGATACCAGAAGAAGGTGAGAGACCTAGCCGTGTGATCCTCTGGAGGATGACTGTGCCAGGCAGAGGGAACAAGGGCAAAGGCCTGGGGATGCAGGCTGCTTAGAGTGTTCAAGAAAGGTCAAGTCGGTGAGTGAGACTGGGCAGGGAAGCTGGACAGCTGTGTTAAGAAAGGAGGTCAAGGGGAAGGGAGAGGTGTGGGGTAGGAAATGGCCCTGCAGCTGGTGGAAGGGCTCTGGCTTTTATGCTGAGTAAGATGGGGAACCACTGAAGGGCTCTAATGGGATGGAAGTGACAAGATCTGGTTTTCATTTTATTTTTTTATTTCTTAATCCTCACCCGAGGATATTTTTTCCATTGAATTTTTTTTAGATAGAGTGGGAGGGAGGAAGAGAGAGATAGAGAGAAACATCAATGTGAGAGAGACACATTAATTGGTTGCCCCCTACATGACCCTGACCGAGGCCCAGGATCGAACCTGCAACCGAGGCACATGCCCTTGACTGGGAATCAAACTCAGGACTCTTTGGTACACAGGCTGACGCTCTAACTGCTGAGCCAAACCGGCTAGGACCTGACTTTCATTTCAACGGCCTACTCTGGCTGTGGTGTGAAAGCTGGCCAGAAGCGGGCAAGGGAGGCAGGGAAGCTCTGTGCAGCGGCTGGAAGCACGCGGTGGAAGTGGTGAACGCTCCTGGCATTTCAAACACTCGGATGCATGGTGATGTACTGGACAAGTGCAGTGGAAGCACAGAGGCAGCGGCGATGAGCCCAGTGGAAAATGACATGGCGAGGGAAGCTTTCACAGAGTGAATGCTGGAGTTGGTTGGCCCTAGAGGATGCATTCACCAGACAGAATGTGGGCATGTGATCCAGAGGTAGAGGGGATGAGCGGGGAAAGAAGGAAGAGAAAGAGGGAGACAGAGAATGTGTATATGCATGTGTGTTTGCATTGGGAGAGTTAAACAAAAAGCCCTCAATCACGAGAGAACTGGCAAATTGAGGAATAGCACACAGCTTAGTGTGCCCAGCTCAGAGCACTGCCACTTGGATGGGAGAGAAGGGATATGAGCTTGGAAGAAGTTTGGACCAGTTGTGAAAGACTTTGATTGCCATGCTAAGAGCTTAAACTCCATCCTTGAGGCAAAAGGGAGTCATCCGGTGTCTTTAAGTAGATGGGTGATTGCCTAACATCCACTGAGGCTACCTTTCTAAACTACTGACTCACCCTCACCCCAGTATCCTTCCCAATGCATATCCCAATCATTACATTTACTATAAAGCTCTTGTATTGCATTGCATCATACTGTATTATGTTATAATCATCTCTGTGTGTTTGACTCACTACTAGTCTGTGGGAAACAGGTCAGGGGCCACACATGGATCATCTCTACATCCTCAGCATCTAGAACATGTTCTGGTGTGTTAAATAAATTATTAGTGGATTGGTGGATGGATAGATGGATGGATGGAAGGACGGAGTGAGTAAGCAATGAAAATGAGAAAGTGTAGAAATTCTGGGTGGAATTGACCAATGAGAAAGTCGGGAATAATAAAGGTGGCTGCCTTCAAAAATCTTCAGACAACAAGTGCTGGTGAGGATGTGAAGGAAAAGGGACTCTAGTACACTGCTGGTGGGAATGCAAACTGGTGCAGCCACTATGGAAAACAATATGTTTCTTCAGAATATTAAAAATGGAATTTTCATTTGACCCAGTGATTCCACCTCTAGGAATATATCCTAAGAAGCCTGAAGCACCAATCCAAAAGAATATGTTCATAGCAACACTATTTACAATAGCTAAGATCTGGAAACAGCTCAAGTAACTATCAGTAGATGTGTGGGTAAAAAAGTTATAGTACGTTTACATGATGGAATACTATGAAACTGTAAGAAAGAAAGATCTCTTACCCTTTGAGATGACATGAAGGAACCTATTAATTATGCTGAGCAAAATAAGCCAGTCAGAGAAAGACAAGTACCACATGATCTTACTTATTTATGAAATATAATGAACAAAATAAGCTGTCGATCAAAATAGATCCAGAGACATGGAAGTAGGGAACACACTAATAAAACTCAGAGGGAAGGGGGGTGGGGGTGGTTGGGAAGTAATAAACTAAAGAACATATATGCATATATGCATAACCGATGGACACAGACAATCCAATCGTTTGGGGGAAAGAGACGGGGGATGGGAGCAGGGAGGAGGGGGTCAATGGGAGTAAAAGGGGAGATATCTGTAATACTTTCAACAACAAAGTTTTTTTAAAAGGAACCGTACATGTTGGTTAATTGCAGATGTGTACAAAGATGGTCCAAGTCCTTTGGGGATGTTTCCTCCTGTGGAATCTCTACATCTCATCCACTCAGACCACATATCCTGGAATCAAGGCAAGGGCTACTCAGCGGGCTCTGGACTATGGTGAGTTGGGTGCTTTCAGAAGCCAGGCTGCAGCCCACCCTGGTAGAGTCTGTGACCCAAACCCAGAAACTCATAAAGAGCTGTGTCATAACTGAGACAAACTCTACTGTGAGGTAATCTAGTCCCTTAGCAGAAGCTGCAAAGATGGCTGGGAAGAAAGTGTTGCCTAAAAAATAATCACCTTAACAGTTGAGATATCCAAATACGGCCACAGATGCATTCTCCCTCCTCTCTCCTTTCTTCCCCCCACCCCCACACACACTGAACATCTCAGAGCTCTAAAGGAGAATGCATTATAGGATAGAGGAAAGGAGATTTAGAGTAGAAGTAATAACTGAGAGTTTCAGAAAGGACTTGATTCCAAAAGAAACAGAGTTCCCTAAAATTGTGTGCAAAATTTAACAGGGATGATGATTGTGCATTTTTCTTGAGAGAGGCTCCGCGCATTTATCAGATGCACGAAGGAATCTGAAACACTGAAAGATTAAGAACCACCTTTTTAGAGGTATTTATAAACACAGGCAGAGAAAAATGTTGAACTGAGGTTTTCTTTGAGCTACATTGGAATAAGGACAGACTATGTAGAAGGGACTTCAGTATCAAGGTATATGGGCCTATTTTTCACCTGTAAAGTTTTGCCTAAGATTAGCTAATTAAAGGTTGATATTCACTAATGCCCCATGTTACAGATGAAGAAAGTTAGGGATAAAAAGATTTGTAACTTGCAGAGGCACACAAACTGGTAAGTGGCAATGTTGGGATTCCAACCAAAGAAAGCTCTCTGCTAGTGCCTCTGGTTCCATCTTTCCATCTTTTCATTCTCTTTACATCCCCATATTGCAATATTATTCATGGTATTATAGAGGACAAACTCTTTCCTACGTCATCTCCAACAAGGGTAGACTAAGTGGAAATGAGCTGGAGCAGCAAAGTAAAGGGTAAAGGCAAAGCTTCATCCTTGAGAAGATTAAAAGAAAAAGATCACTCTTCATTACTGTGTACGTTATTTTTTTCAAGCTCTTTAATGTGGAAGAGGCCTCTCTTTCACCCTGAACTCAGAGGAATGTATTCTATGGTGCTGCCATATCAAGACAGGTCTATCCCCAAATAAAATTTTAAAATTAGTGGTTTCTAACCTTTCCGGAGTCCTGGGATCCTTTGAGAATCTGATGAAAATGTGGACCCTCTCTCCTGAAAAATGAGATACATATAGGATGGGGCAAAAATAGGTTTACAGTTATGAGTATGTGAAACAGAGTTTATTCTTATATTATTATTTATTAATCATTTTTCATACGAACCCTGTAAACCCACTTTGCCCAACCCTGTAAGCACAGGCAGAAACAATCAATCTTTCATTAGAATTTCAGGAAGTTCTAAAGTTCCCAAAGGTCCATGGACCTCAGGCCAAAAATTTCTGAGCTTAAAGAATCTTGGACCGGGCCTTGGCCAGTGTGGCTCAGTTGGCTGTAATGTTGTCCTGTGCACCGGAAGGTCATGGGTTTGATTCCCGGTCAGGGCACATACCTAGGTTGTGTGTTCAATACCCGGTCAGGGCACATATGGGAGGCAACCAATCAATGTTTCTCTCGCTATCTAAAAATCAATTAAAAAATAAAAAAATAATCTGGGGCCAGGGGAAATTACTTTCTGGAACTGGCTATAATAAGACATGGATTCTGGAGCCAAATTGCCCAGATTTGACTATTGGGTCCCCCAGGTCTTGCTAGGTGACTTAGGCAAGGATTAATCTCCTTGAGGTTCAGTTTCTTCATCTGTAAAATGTGGATAATGATAATATTTTATACTTTTCCTTTCATACTCTGCTGTAATAACATTCTTTGGCCCTGGCCAAATAATGAAAATCTCTCATGCGCCCTCACATGTTTGGCTCAGCGGTTAGAGCATCAGCCCATGGACCAATGAGTCACAGGTTCGATCGTGGTCAAGGGCATATACCTCAGTTGAGGTTCATCTCCAGCCCTAGTCAGGGTTGTGCGGGAGGCAGCTAGGGAATGCATCTCTCTCACTTTGACGTTTCTCTCTCTCTCTCTCTCTCTCTCTCTCTCTCTCTCTCTCTCTCTCTCTCTCTCCCCCCCCCCCAACTCTTCCTCCCTCCCTCCCACTCTATCTGAGGATAAATAGAAAAGTGTCCTCAAGTGAGGATTAAAATAAAATTTCTCATGCTGTTAACTCTGGGGTCTTGAGGAATTTTATTAGCCCCTCTGAGAACCAGTGTTCTCATATATAAAGCAGGGACAATAATACCCACCTTGTAAGATTGCTGTTTCTACAATTCTAAGAGCATGCCTTACTCAATGTATTCTATGTGCATGTTTAATGATATTACACTGTTATCATCTTTGTCTATTAGCAATGAACACTTTCTTTGGTTCTTTCGTAGGTGTTCAAGCTGGGGTGCTAATGATTGAGCAAATGATCAAAGAAAGAAACATCCCAGATTTAAAAGGTTCTGAATCTCTTGAATTTCTGAAGGTTGATTACGTGAACTACAATTTCTCAAAGTAAGTAAAACAGAAGAGCATTGTTAGCAGTGAAATTCACCTTTAAACTCTCAAGGTTGTGGATATGCCACCACCTGGTGTAACATCAAGACCTGCAGAGTAGAAGTTAACCAACCTTCAGTGAGAAGCTTATCAGAAAATGACCGGAGGAAAAAGGGGTCATGAAGTGCACAAAGAGTGTGGCATTTGCATCAGAACACCTGGGTCCAGGTCTTGTCTCTACTGCATACTAGCTGTGTGCACCTGGGTATCTGCTCAGAGTTTTGGTGTCCTTGTGTCCTTGCCTCCTTCCAAACATGAGCATCCTAATTCAACACAGTTGTCAGCTGTGGCCACCTTGTCCCTCGAATTCCATAGGAAGTTCTTATTCACTCCATTGTTACCCTCACCTCCTAAACCTAGAAGCAGAATTCAACCACAGTCTCAAGGATAAATCTACTCTCATCAAATATTTTCTTATTTTAGTAAAGGTTAGTCAAGATGTCAGAGGTCACAGGGCACATGGCCTTCTGCCCTCTTGCTCTCTTGATCTTTCTTCCTCTGGAGCAACACAAGTGTCTTCCACTGGCCTCATGCAAAGCAGCCCCACCCACTCCAGGGTACCAAAGACTCTCCCTTTATACTCTTACCTGCTTTTCTAAGTCATTTTCCCACCAACAAACTTCTCATCCTAAGAAGAATTCTGATGGCAGCTGTAATCTTTTCTGCCATGTTATAGCAATAAAATCAAATGTCAAAATCAGTAAATAGTCAAAACCAGGTGATGTCACAGATGTGAAGACACTTGATGAAACTGAAACTGCTTGCTGCACATGTGTTCGCTGGTATCCATCATGATAGCATAAGGGCATCATTGTCAGAACAATGGAATTGCCACACTGATTCAGATCCTGTTGCACCCAGCCCAGAGTTTTGACACTGTATTAATTAGGAATAAACTTCAGCTGAATATGACAGCAAATTACAATGGCTTAGATGTCGTAGGGGTTTATTTTTGTCTCACAAATAAGAAGCTCAAAAGAGACAATGGAGGATTCCTATAGAAGCCCCATGATTTCATCAGTATCCAGCCTTCTTATATTTTTCTGCTCTGCCATCCTCAGATCTGGCTTCTAGCCGCAAGGTTGTCTCGAGGTCCAGAATGGCCAGTGCATCTCAGCCATCAAATTTACATTTCAGGCCCCTGGAAGGAGGAAGGAGCAAGGATGAAAGGGCTCTTTTAGGCTAAGTTAGTTTCCTCTTCAATGAGTTTTGTTCCTGAAGCTCCATTCTAGTAAGTTTCTGCCTATGTAATAATGGACAGAACTTAGGCAGATGGCCACATTTATTAGCAAAGGAGACTGGAAAATTAGTTCCTAACCAGACAACTTTGCCATCCTGAACAAATTCAGGGATGTGTAGAAAAGAAGACGATGTTCAGACAGCAACCGGCAACCTCAGCCATGGCTGCCAACAAAAGCCCCAGAGGAAGTGTAGGGAGAGAATATCTGTGTCCATCTTAGTTCAATCTTAAAGGTTAGCGAAGAATCAAGTCTTAATAAGCAATTCTCTGCATTACAATTTTCCCCAATGCTTTATCAATCTGGTGGTAATTCCCTGCTATTCTAATCCTTTAGAGTAGTAATTTCCCTGCCATGAAGGACAACATTCTATAAAACCAATAGTTTTTTTTGAAGGATCAAGAGTACTGATCTAGGGAAAGTTCCTGGCAGATGCTATAGTCTGTAATAAAGCCAGCCATTCAATGAGTATTTATTGAGCACCTACTATGTACTAAGTCTTTATTCTAGGCATAAGAGATAGTGTAGTAAATGACACAGATAAGTCTTCTGCCCTTAATGTCCAGTGAGAGAGAGGGACATTAAATATATATTTATAAAATTAATTATTTAATTACAATGATGGTAATGCTACAGCAGAAAAATCCAGAGTAAATCATATAGTATCAAGGGTAAGTGAAAATGAGAAGAATCTGGTATTCTTATAAATTGCTGGTGGGAGCAGATAAACTGGTACAAGAATTTTAGACCTGTGCTGTCCAAACAAGTAGCCACTAGCCACAGGAGCTGTTGAGCAATTGAAATATGACTTAATTCTAAATGTATTTAATTTTAATTTAAAAGCTGATACTCAATTCAGTTATTGAGAAATTTTAAGTGTGCTTGGGACAATTTGGGTATGTAAGTTCACTTTTTCCATTGAAAATTTTATCTAATCTAAAAACAGGTCATGTATTTCTGATGAAAATTCAATGTTTAAATTGAGGTGTATCATGAGTATAAAATATGTACCATATTTTGAAGATTTATTTTGGAAAAAGAAAAAAATCTCATTAATAATTTTTATATTGATCATATGTTGAAATGATATTTTAGATGTAATTGGGTGAAGTTAAAAAAATAAAATTGCTCTCACCCACTTCTTTTCCCTTTTTTAAGTGTGGTTACTAGAATATTTTAAATTATATATGTGGCTCACATCATACTCAGATTTACAGGGACCTTTTTTTATGCATGCCCTTGGACACAACAATTCTGCTTCTCGGCATCCTCCATAAACACATACATTAACTGCATGTATGAGGATTTTCACTATGGCATTGTTTATAATAGAGAAGCACTGGAAACAACTTTGTTGGTGGACACCAACAAAGAAATGATTATTTTTTAATGATACACCACAGCTTGGAATACTCTACAGTAGTGACAAAGAATGTATAAGGCCTATATGTATAAAAATGAAAATCTTTTTAAGATATTCTTATCCCACAGTGGGTTTCAGGATGTGTCACAGAGAATAAGTAGAAAAGTAGAGGAGATAGCAAATAATTATTTCTTATCAGCTATCACATTTATGTCTTAAATTTATCCTGTTCTTAGCTCAAAACAATGCCTTCCTCCTTTGCAACAATTATACACAGGTGACCTCATTTTGTCTTCATAACCTACCTGCAACACTTCCTGAGTGACTAACAGAAAAAGGTTATGTGTCTTACCCAAGATTGCACAGCTAGCAAAAACTTGTCTCCGAGTCGAGTGCCCTTTGCACAGTAATGAAGTGGATAGTCAGATTGTTAAGAACACAGTCTGAAGACGGATTGAGGAGGGTTCCAGATCTTGTTCTACCACTTATATATGGCTGCAGCTAAGTTTCTTATCTTCTCATCTTTGAGTTGCTATTTGCAAAAACAGCAACAGCCTCATAGGATTATTATGAGGGTTAAAATGAGCTAAAATATGCGAAGTGCTCACCATAGTGCCTGGCTGAGAGTAATTACTCAATGTTCATAACAATAACTTATAATGCATGTGGCCATCTACCTATGCAGATTACATGCAACCCACTGCCTCCTAGTTACCTGTTTGGCAACTCAGAGGATCCTACGGAAAGTTAATGCTCTAAAATAAGTTTCTCAACTAGGGGAGATACTGTCCACATAGAAGGCATTTGGGAAGAGGAGGAAGACGCCCTTTTGACTGCCCCAATGGTTTGGGGGGACATTTAGTTAGTGTAGACGCCAAATATCCTGCAATGTGTATAACTGTTCTCTACAAAAAAAATAGTTGTCCCACCAAAATACTAATGCCCCCCTGACCCCGTTTAGAAACACTGGAACAGCTGAAGGAAAAAATATGATGGCAAATGTACCTCTTTTTGTCTTTAAAGAAACTAAAAACTGTAGATTGAGTTTTTGCAAATTTGTTTTTAAACTTGCTCATTTGCCCCCTTAATAAGACACAGGAACTTCTGCCCAGAGGTTGAGGGGAATTAGAAGGCAGTGCCCAGAGGCAGCACCGCAGACCTGAGGTCCCTTGCTCCGTGGGAATTCACAGTCACAATTTCTACAACTGTATTTCCTATTTTGCCTTAATTAGAGATGTGTTAGAGGAGTCATACTAACTCGTCTGTGTCTTGTTTTACAGCATAAAAATCAATGCCTTTTCATTTCCAAACACTTCATTAGCCTTTGTGCCCGGGGTAGGAATCAAGGCACTGACCAACCACGGCACTGCCAACATCAGCACAAACTGGGACGTCAAGTCTCCACTTTTGTGAGTATTCCCTGAAACGTCTGCTGCTATTCTGGGGGGGGGAAATGGAGCAAAAATCCAAAGTGTATAAATTTGCTAATGTTTTTGATGTTAGGCTTCTTTTCTCAACCACTGACACACTTTCTCAAGAGTGTTTTTTCCAGGAGAGATGTAAATCAGAATACCTCTGCTGGGGGTGAGAGAGGGGAGAGGCTGAAAATCATCTTAACCTTAAAGGCAGAGCTACTGACCAAAGTGTTCTTTGTGATTTCCTAAGAGCTACAAGTCCCAGACTGTTGGAGAAACAGACATGTGCTCAACATTTGAGACCCTCCCAGTGGTCACTGTGTGATCTTAGCCAGTCCTTCAACACACTTCCCCATCTGTGGGGCATCTGAGGGACCTGGAGCCTTCCTTCCTCACAAGGAGGTTGGAGGATGATAGTCAGCTTGAGCCCGATTCTCCCCTGCCAAAAGGCCTCTGAACCCTCTTAGAAAGAAGGGATCAGCCTAACCCGTGTGGTTCCGTGTACTGAGCATCGTCCCATGGACTGAGAGGTTCTGGTTCAATTCCCAGTCAGGGCACATGCCCGGGTTGTGGGCTGGAACCCCAGTGGGGGGCATGCAGGAGGCCACCGATTAATGTTTCTCTCTCACATCAATGTTTCTCTCTCTCTCCCCCTTCCTCTCTTAAAAAAAAAAAGAATAAAAACATATTTAAAATAAATAAATAAAGTAAGAAGGGATCAAATTCAAGGTATATTTACAGACCACCAGGTGCAAGTTGCTATCCTGGGTGTAATGTTTAGGTCTGTCTTGGTTGGTGCCCCAAAGTAACACATTCATTCACTCACTTGGTCATTTAACAACCATTTATTGAGTGCCTACTATTTACCATTTATTTCCATCTCAAGAATTCCAATAACTCTTGTAGACTGAAGAGAAATGACATTTTCTTCTATAAGTAATGGATTCATGTATTCTTCTTATCTTTGCGTACTCATCAGCCTTACATTGCAAGCTTATTTTGCCTCAAGCCAAGAGCTAAGTCCTGGGGACATGGACATGAGTAACACACACTCCACTCCCTCAGGGAGTTCACAGATGACATCTAAGTGTCACTTTCCCATCATTGCCCCTCCTACATAAGGTGTGGCCAATTTTACCCGCCATGTTCTCTCTCTAAACAACCACTGTATATGAACAGTGCTCAAATATGTGTTCAACCAGGAGGGGTGGGAGGGACAGAGCACTCCGGATGAAATAACTGCAAGGTCCCTAAAGCTGTCACCATTCGCATCATTCACTACTTCATTTGTTGAGCAAATATTCATTCAGCACCTACTCTGATCCCACCTGTTCTAGGTGCCACGAATCCAGAGGTGACCAAGGTCCTGCCCCCAGGAGCTCAGAGTCTGTGGGTAATCAGAGAACTGAGCCATCTCCTCCCCTGCCAAGGCCTGGGTAACCTTGCACTTTTTCTCTTAACAGCCAAGACACAGGAGGAGCTGATCTGTTTCTCTCTGGGATCTACTTCACCGGTATCCTTATCCTGGCCCAAAATGACTTTGGTCAACCAACCCTGAAGCTCCAAGACTGCTACGCCCAAGTGAGCCATGCCCACGTCTCATTTACTGGAGAACTCAGGTGAGTGAGCATGCCCTGTGGGCAGTGGCTAGTGGGGGGCTGGATGCTTGGGCAGCACCTAGGGGAGGTTTATAACTGACAGGTACAGTCCCTGAGCAAGCCCTTTTTTCCTTTTTTCCCTAGTGTCCTATATAACTCCTTTGCTGAGCCCATGGAGAAGCCCATTTTAAAGAACTTAAATGAAATGGTAAGACTTTGGAGGTTACACAACCACAGTAAAATGCCATCAGCAGCAGTTCTGCCATGCTTTAATTAATTCTTGGTCCATAGATCTTTTTTGAGCACCTACTGTGTGCTAGGCACCATCCAAGGCTCTTTCACACACATCATCCTACAGCATTCTCTTCCTCAAATTCATGCCACAGGCTGGACAAACAATCAACAAGAATGTATTTATGCCCTGGCCGGTTTGGCTCAGCGGTTAGAGCGTCGGCCTGTGGTCCGGAGAGACCCGGGTTCGGTTCCCGCTAAGGGCATGTACTTCGGTTGCAGTTTGTCTCCGGCCCTGGTTGGTTGTGCGGGTGGCAGCCACTCGATGTGTCCCTTCACGTCGATGTTTCTGTCTCTCTCTCCCTTCCTCTCTCTCCCTCCCACTCTATCTGTACAAAAAAATGGAAAAATATCCTCGGGTGAGGATAAAAAAAAAAAAAAGAATATATTTATCATGTATCTACTGTGTGCCCAGCACGAGGCTAGCGTCTGATGGGGATATGAAAAAGAAACAAACATCAGCTTTTTAGGAAAACAAAACTCAGGCTCGTGAAACAATAACTGAATGAGGACTTGAATGTAGTATGTACTTATATGATCATTAGATTGAATTGAAGGGGTTTAGAGAAATGGGAAAATTAAATAAGTAGAGTCCACAAGTATCCTGGGAGACATTTTTAGAGGATGCAGGCCTTGAACTGGGCCTTGAAGAATAGGTAGGACTTAGCTAGGTAAGGAATAGGAAAGAAGACAGGATACTTCCAGCCAACAGAAACAGTCTAAGTTAAGATAGCTTCCAAAGCTACAAGTATCTAGATTCCAGAAGTCGGAGTTTGAGAAAGGGGAATGACGGAATTGGCTATGTGCCCTCTTTCCAATCCTGACCATACCTTCCCTGAACCCTTGACCCATATTTTGTGGGAGACAATGAGGGGGATGAGGAGGACTGGAAAAGAAGGGAGATTCCTTTCTGGAAAGGAAGGGTAAGGACAGGGTCTGGCTATCTCCTTCTCCCTCATGCTCAGCTCAGTGCTTCGCACAGGAGTTGCTTAATGAATGCCAGTGAGTAAATCAACACGTAGAAACATTAAGCAGCCTGTCCAATGAGGTTCCCCAGCTGGTAAAGGGCCTCTGAGACTTCGCGGTCTTTCTCCATCTTACCTGACAGGTGCTGGGGGCCATTAAATGTGTATATTAAAGAGTGACAGGGAAATATGCTGCCACCTTCAAGGACCTCACAGTTGATCATTCCTTTGTTCAAAACGAGGCATGGTTCTTGGCCTCTGAGAGGAAGCCAGTAGTTAAGTTTGCCTAGAGTTTAATATATGACTTAGAAATCATAGATGCTTTGCCTCTAGGATTCCCTCTGAGCCACTGGAAAATGAAGAGTGCTCAGACCACAGCTAACCTGCTGGGTCAGAGAAGATTTCAAATCCTAGTGATGTGACTCGTTGGTGAATCACGTACGCTCTCTTCTTCAGTGTTCTTTGTAAATAGGGGACAACAGGCTTACCTCCCAGACCTGTAGCAAGGATGAAATGGGGTTAAAACAACAGCTAACATATACCGAATGATTACTCTTTAAAACCTGATGAGGTAGATACAGTTATCATCCCCATTTTGCAGATGAGGAAACTGAGGACAGAGAGTACAAGTAACTTGCCAAGGGAGTCAACCCAGGCAGCCTGGCTCCTGAGCCTCTGCTAGTAACCACCACACAGTGCTTACCACATGCGTGGCACACAGCAGGCCCATCAATGTTGGGACCCTTCCTTCTTCCTAAAGATGTGCTTGAGTCTGACTCAAGATTGATTTTCTAATTTCAAACAGGGTTCTAATCTAAATAGATGCCTTATCGAATGGGCTGTTGAACCAGCCCAGCGGGGAAGTGAAGGCCCCAGCTGTAACCACTCCTGGCAGCAGGGCATGATGACAGAGGAGGGGAAAGGCATAGCAGGTTCCTCGGGTGTGACCACACCAGCATGGATCTGCACATGTCCTGTCCTGCCACAGAAAAATAAAGCAAGGGTTCCTCCTTTATGGGCCTCACTGGGTGTTGTCTCAGTGCTGTGAAGTTTAGTCAGCATTCAATGACATGCCACCCATACATACGTAACTTCAGGCCCATAGGCATCAAGTAATTTAAGAGAATGTCTTGGTGACCAAAGGGAGAATGTCTCCTAGTCTTTGTTTGCATGGTCCAGGCCCATAATAGAGGTTTCCAATATAATATAATAACCTCCTTTTCTTTATTTGTGGCCAGCTCTGTCCCATTATCACAGGAGAGGTGGAAGCACTGAATGCCAATCTCAGCATGCTGGAGGGTGAGTCTCTGAACTGTCTCTTCTGGATGGCTCTCTCCCTGCCTTCCCACTCTGGTGCTCTCCAGGTTTGCTTTTCCACACAGTCTAGTTCTGCCTCTTCAGTGTGCTTTCTGCTCTGGGCCAGGTTATCCCTTGGTTCTAACCCCTTCGTTGGCTCCTCGCTGCCTTCAGGATCAAGTCCAAACGCTTTCACATGGACTACAAGCCCCGCCCACCATGCTCTGGCTCCTGCTTACCTCTGTCTGCTTCATCTCTAACCTTTCCCTGCTCCAGCAATCAGACTGCTTCTCCTGCCCCCACGCCCCTTACCTTTGCTCATGTTGTCCTCTCTGCCTAGAAGAGCTTTCTCTCCCCTTCATCCATTTATTCATTTGATGGATATTTATCAAGTGCCTATTTCTTTGTGCTAAGCCATAAGGGATGCAGTCCCTTCCACTCCCTACTCCTCAGCCCTCCCTGTCTTGTTTGCTCCTCTTTATCTTTAAAGGCTCAGCTGAGGCATACATAGTCTCTTTGAAGAAATCTCACCTGATGCCCGCACCCCAAAGTTCCACCTCTTCTATACCCACATGATGCTTTGAAAGTATCTCTCTCTCTTTCCACTCCACCCATTCATTCACCAATGACATAGGCCGGGCGCTGCTCTTGGTGCTGGAATGCAGCAGGAAGCTTCGGAAACAGAAATCTCTGCCCTCATGGGACCGGTGGGAGGAGACAGACAGCAAGCAAGATAATAAGAAAATCTATGTTATCCTAGTGATAAGTGATGAGAAGAAAACTAAAGCAGGGAAGAAGCAGGAAGGTGTGGTTTTCATTTTAGATAGTGTGGCCAGGGGTTTCCATTTTAGAGTTCTATTTTAGATACTGAGAAAGTAACACAGAGTACGAATCTGAATGAAATAGGGAATGAGCCACTCCTAGATCCGGGCATAAAACATTCCAGGTAGATGAAACCACAGCTCCGGGTCCTGAAGCAGGAGCATGCCAGGTGTGCTAGGGGAACTGTGAGGAGGCCATATTGGGAACAGAGGGAGCAAGAAGGAAGTAGCAGGAGATGAGGTCAGCGAGGAGAAAGTAGGTGGATAGATGTCCAGGGCTCTGTAGGTCATTGCGAAGGCTGGCTCTCAGTCTCACGTAAGAAGTCTTTGGAGAGTTCTGAGCAAGGTTTGCATGATCTCACTAATATTTTAAGAATATTTCACTGTCCTGGATGATTTTGTTCAGTGGTTAGAGCGTCAGTCCACGGACTTTAGGGCCACAAGTTCGATTCCTGGTCAAGAGCATGTACCTGGGTTGCAGGTTCATCCCTGGCCCCAGTCAGGATCATCCAGGAGGCAACCAATCAATATGTCTCTCTCACATCAATGTTTCTCTCTCTCTCCCGCCTTCCCTTCCACTCTATCTAAAAAATAATGAAAATATATTCTTGAGTGAAGATTAACAAAATAACAAACAAAAAGAATATTATTCTGGCACTGGCTAGTGTGGCTCTGCTGGTTGAGCATCATCCCATGCATCAAAAGGTCAAGAGTTTGCTCTGGCTGGTTGCTCAGTGGTTAGAGCAGAGGCCTGTGGATGGAAAAGTCACAGGTTCAGTTCTGGTCAGGGGCATATACCATGGTTGTGGTTCAATCCCTGGTCGGGATCGTGTGTGAGGTGGCCAGTCCATGTGTCTCTTACATTGATTTCTCTCTCTCTCTCTCTTTCCCTCCCTCCTTCCCACTCTATCTGAAAATCAATAAAGAAATGTCTTCAGGTGAGGACTTTTTTTAAAAAAAAAGGAAAAAGGTCTATAGTTTGATTCCAAGTTGGCACATGCCCAGGTTGCAAGTTCAATCCCCTGTTAGGGCCCATGTGAGAGGCAACCAATCAATGTTTTTTTCTCACATCAATGTTTCTCTCTCTCTCTCTCTCTCTCTCTCTCTCTCTCTCTCTCTCTCTCTCTCCTTCCCTAAAATCAATAAAAACATATATTTTTGAAAAGAATATCACTGCCCTGGCTGGTTTGGCTCAGCGGTTAGAGCATCGGCCTGTGGTCCAGAGAGACCCGGTCCATTTCCCGCTAAGGGCACGTACCTCAGTTGCAGTTTGTCCCCGGCCCTGGTTGGTTGTGTGGGTGGCAGCCACTCGATGTGTCCCTTTCATGTCGATGTCTCCCCCCACCCCCCACTCTATCTGAACAAAAAAATTAAAAAATGTCCTCGGGTGAGGATTAAACAAAAAAAGAACATCACTTTGACTTCTCTTATTAATAGACGAGGTGGGGCAAAGTTGGAAGCAGGGAGACCACTGCTACAGCAGTGATCCACATGAGCCTGGATGAAGACAGTGAGACATGTTCAGGTCCTGGATATACCTGTGCAGGTAGAGACAGTGGTATTTGCTGACACACTGAATGTGGGTCATGAGGGGAGTCAAGGATGACCCCAGGTTTTTACCCTGAGAAACTAGAACATTGAAAGAATGGAATGACCATTTACCCAAATGAGAGAGACTGTAATAGGACCATAAAGAGCTCAGTTTTAAATCTGCTGTAGCTGCACTGTATTCTCATTTCCTGTTTACATGTCTGTCTCCCCCACCAGACTCTGAGTTCCACAAGGGCAGAGACTTTGCTTCATCTCTGTGTTCCCAGCAGCAGACACAGTACCTAAGCCACACTAAGTTAATAAATATTGGACTGATGAAGGGATGAAGGGATGGGTGCCTGGAAATATGGATTCATGAATGGATACAGGTGGATGAAAGAAAATCAATGAATTGAGGAGGTAGGGACAGAGAAAGAAGATGGATGAAGAAAGAACTAGTCGAGTATTCCCATGTCCTCGCTCGCCTTGGGCAAGTGTCTTCACCTCCGGGAGCTTCACTCCCCTCACTGTAAAAATGGTCATGGCCCTGCTTGTTCACAGTATGGTGATGGATCCATTGAGGTGGTGAATTTGAAAGCAGATTTTAAAACGATGGTGACATAGGGTAGTATTGTTCCCTCACCTTAACAAATCACTTCATCTCTTCTTGTTTCTCATCTCAGTCTTTGGAATAAACCAAATATGGCATGCAAGAAGGGAAGCGGTGGTACGTGCATACCTTCTTCTAGGCCAGGGAGGAAGTCTTCATATCACAGAGCGCACAGGGGTAGTCAGACAGCTGCTTCCCAGGCCAGGTCAGAAACCCGAGCACTGCATGACTGCATGTACAAACCGTCCCAGACACTGAAGTCCATGCTTCCTATAAACCCTACGCACTGCTCCCTGGCCTCTGGCCCTTTGCCTGGCCTTCTGCTTCACTCTGAAAATGATAGTACAAAGAATGATGCCAACCAGTAGCATCGTGCGTGAGAATTTCTTCAGCCTCTCCAACGTCGTGAATTTTACTCCTGTCTGTCTATCTGCTCTCTTGGTGTTTCTTTTAAAAAACTATTTATGATCACAAGAGTAATACATGGTCATTGAGAGAGAGATTGAGATTAAAAGAGTATATACCAAAATTTTACTTAAGTTTCTCTCAGGGTAATGTGATCTAAAGGATTTTCACTTTCTTCTTTGACATATCTACTTTTCCTTGGTTTTAAAAAGAGAGCATGACCTGAAACTAAAATAATATTAAATGTCAATTGTAATTTATATAAATAAGTAGGGAAAAGTGAACATGTATTACTTAGGAAATAGGGTAATTACTATTTTAAACAACATAGAATTTAAATTATTTAAAAATTTGTTCTGGATATACATTAATTATATGTTAAGCTTTTAATGAATGTAAGTTTCTTTTTGCTTTCTTTATTTGTTATTTAGTTTTAACCAAGATTGACAACTATACCCTGCTGGATTATTCCCTAATGAGTTCTCCAGAAATTACTGAGAACTACATTGACCTGAATTTGAAGGTAACTTTAGCATCATCAGAGTCCTCACCCTGGCCAGCAACAGCCAGTATAAGCGCCCCCTTGGTGTCCTCCAGGGATTGGTTACAGGACACCTCCTCATACCAATAACTGCAATACTCAAGCCCCTTATACAAATGGCACAATATCTGCATTTAACCTATGCACATCCTTCTGTATACTTTAAATCATCTCTAGAGTGCTTATAAAACCTAATACAATATAAATTATGTAGATAGTTGTTTAAAAATAACTGTACATGCTCAGTACACAATCATAGTAGGCCTAACTACATAGTGCCCATCAGCAGCAACCTAACTGTTTTTTCAAATATTTTTTATCTGCGGTTGGTTGGAGCAGAACCTATAGATACAGAGAGCTGACTCTGCACAAATGTCATGGGCAGAGGAAATATACCTTCATGCTCTTCAAATAATTTCATTTCCTGTCAAGCAATTCCCTGATGTGTGTGCTCTTTCAAAAGACTCTTGAACATTTCCTTGATTGATAAATGATTATTTGGATTGCACAAGACAGGTCTGCCTTCTTCAAGAAAAGGCTCATGATTCCTTTGCCTCTGGGAGTAGGTTTGAGGCTAGGAGGCAGCAAGAAGAGTGGTCTGCATTTATTAGAATTTATCATTCCTGTAAGTGTACATATTGCTACCTCTATTCCTCTCAGATTAGACTATTTAACTGAGGGCTGTTGACCTCTCTTGGGCCCATTAGCACATGAAAATGGTGTTTGCTGATTCTGAAAAAGTGATTCACTGCAGTTATGTTTAGTTTTGCCTCAAAGTTAATATTATTGTTATTTTCAATGCATATTGACTTATATTTCAATCCCTCAAAGTCATTCAAATTAGTTAAATATTACACAAGACACCATTTTGTAATAATAACCAATAGCTAATGAGGGTAGCATTAAACATGCTATGGATTGCCCTGGCCGATTTGGCTCTGCAGTTAGAGTGTCAGCCCACAGACAGAAGGGTTGAGGATTAGAGTCCCGTACCTGGGTTGTAGGTTCGATCCTGGACTGGGTCATGCAGGAGGCAACCACTCGATGTATCTCTCTCACATAAATGTTTCTCTCTCTCTCTCCCTCCCTCCTTTCCACCCTATCTAAAAATCAATGGAAAAATATCCTCGGGTAAGGATTAACAAAAACAAAAAGCAAATAAATGCTACAGATTTTCTCCTATACTTCTGAAATCCATGATGCATTCATGAACACATGATGCAGCTGCAGTTCAAGGTGCCATGTTAAACTTAGTTCAACTCAACAACTATTTGTTGAATGGTTTTAAAAATGCTTTAAATTATTTAGAGTTCTGGGGCCTCCTGAGTCTTTCTGTGACAACCCAGATGCTCAGCAATCACAGATTTTGAAGGTCCAGGGTTTGACATATCTACCTGGCACCTCACGGTTTATTCAGAGCTGTCACCTCCAGCTACATGCACCTGCCCTTCTTTCTCGGAGAAAAGGACCAACAAGGAACTTCTCACTCGGTTATACCCCAGGGTGGACAGACAGGCCCAGATGTCTGCTCAAGAAGTCATCAGAGCCTTGAAACATTGGCACTAGGCAAGGAGTCAGAAGGCCTCATCATTTTTTTCTTCCCTGTTAATTTTCTGAAATTTTCCTTATTCTGACCTAAGAGGGTCCACCTTCTTTAGTCCTGCACATTTTTTTTATTTTATCCTCACCCGAGGACATTTTTGCATTTATCTTCAGATAGAGCAGGAGGGAAAGAGGGAGGGAGAGAGAGAAAGAAACATCGATGTGAGAGAGACACATCAATTGGTTGCCACCCACACGACCCCAACTGGGGCCGGGACAAATTGCAACTGAGGTACATGCCCTTGGTGGGAACCAAACCCGGGTCTCTCTGGTCTGTGGGCCGACGCTCTAACTGCTGAGCCAAACCGGCCAGAGCTAGTCCTGCATATTAGAGCCTTCATCTGACACACTGGTCTCTTCCTCTTTTCCCACAGGGCGTATTCTACCCACTGGAAAACCTCACCGATCCCCCATTCTCCCCATTGCCTTTTGTGCTCCCAGAACGCAGTGACTCTATGTTCTACATTGGAATCTCCGAATACTTCTTTAAATCTGCATCCTTTGCTCATTTTACAGCCGGGGCTTTCAACATCACTCTCTCCACAAAAGAGGTGAGGAGAGTTAACAGGTAACAACAGTCGGCACCAACATTTAATCTACCACAAGTATCCCATTACAGGGTTTTTTACGTCGTCATTTCAATTCCTGAGCCCTGTAGACTACCCCTGCTATCAGGACAATGGATGAAGGAGTTGTGGAATGATTGTTATTAGTTGGACAGTATTTGGGTTTCCACTTCTTCTAATTCCATTTCTTATCATTCCAAGTCCCCGTTCTAGATTACTCTCAAATAATGACAGTACCTCCTCTATCACTTATTACCTGTGACCTTGAGCAATTTCAGTTTAACTTCTTTGTGCCAGAGTTACCTCATTTGGAAAATGAGAATAATAATAATTCTGTACCCACAGGGTTGACATAGACATTAAAGAGGTTTAAATACATCTATAACAAAAATAAATTAATTAATAAAAATTTTTTTAAACAAAAGAGGTTTAAATATATGTAAAGCATTCAGACCAATGCCCAGCATAGTTAGTGTTCTATAAGTGTTGCTGGTCATCATGATGATGATGATGATTCTTTATGTTAAGCCAACATAAAGATTTCTCCTATTAGCAACTGCAACTGACTTACCTACAAGGACCCGTGAGAGTACAGACACTTGTTGCTCTTTGCTATGCCTCTGCCTCTTACATATACCGAGAGCACTCTTTCCAGCCAGTCAGCCAACAACTTTTTCTGAGCATCCCTTATGAATATTTTTGTTCTGTAGGTCTTAATTCAACAAGTAATTATAAACCTTATGTTCCAAATGCTAAGTTGGCAGCACAAGCTACCACACAGTGCTAAAAATGAGACACTTCTAGCTTCAAGATTTGAAAACCATCCATCTGTGAAGATAAATTCCTCAAGCATTCTATGTCTCAATAATCTCGGGAAGTGAGAACAATAGCACAGACATATTGTTACCCACCATAGCATATTTACACGTGGATCACAGATAAATAATACACACAGTGCTCCCAAGGTTGAAAGTCACTTACTCAAAAGGACTGTAACTCCTGTGTGACTTCCCATTTGCAAGTCACTTTACTTCTCTGGGCCTCAGATTTCCTGTGGTTGGTCTATAAAATGATAAGTCGCCTTCGAACACCTTTTTTGGTGCAACAGACTCATAATTCATAAAAATGATAGAGAACGCCACATTTTCTCTGAAAGGACAACACAGGGTAAAAACCTTACAATGACATGATGGTCTTAATTTTCCAGATCTCCAGCCATTTGGTTCGACACTCTCAAGGCGTTGGCAACGTGCTCTCCCGGGTAAGTCGTCAGGATTTGACTCCTTGATAGTGTATTTGATTTCACTGGAGTAATTCATGGAAGACTTGTGGGTTCATGTGTGTGTGTGTGTGTGTGTGTTTGTGTGTGTGTGTGTGTGTGTGTGTGTATTAATAAACTACACACACACATATAGGTTTTTATTGATTTTTTTTTTTTAGAGAAAGAAAGGGAGAGAGAGAAATATCTATGTGAGCATCAATATGAGAGAGAAACATCTATCAGCCACCTCCTGCACACCTTCGGGGGACTGAGCCTGCAACCCAGGCTTGTGCCCTGACTGGGAATCGAACCAGGACCTCTCAGCCCATGGGACGACAGTCCACTGAGCCACACCAGCCGGGCAACATGTGGGTTCTTTATATTCCCTTTTGGTGCAAGCCTGAGTCCATCTTTTCATTTTTAAAGAATTTTCTTTCTTTTAATCAAATATTCACAAAGATTTACCGAACAAGTTACTATTAAAGGCATTTTAAGTTCACAAAATAAATCATCTGTTCCATCCACAAGGTTCCACCACACTTGAAATAATTAGCTTACATGGGAAATAAAGGACTAGTGCCCACGCTTGTGACTTCAGTGAAGCAACTATGAGTGTCATGCCTTCGGAGCTCCTACGTGTTGGACATAGTGCCCTGAAAGGCTCAGGTTTGCCCTTGAGGACAAAGAGAGGGGCTGTTTTTTCGGGCATCCTAGTTTTAGAGCAAGGATCTCGAATCACACAGACCTAGATCTGAATCCCGGTTCTACAGCTTACTCACCTAGAACGTTGAGAAGATGACTTAACCTCTCCAAGACTCACTTTCTTCATTTGCAAAATGGGGATTAACCTTCCTCACAGGGATTTTGCAGGGATTAAATGGGATAATACAGGTAACCCTGGCCATGGTGCCTGGCACACAGTGTGTTTCGACAAAGCTCAACTGTTATTATTTGGGTTTTGCATGTTATTGTTATTATTAAAAGAACTTGTTTTTCTATTCCTGCTGCATGATGTAATATTTAATCACCCCAAATTTGTGATTTTCCCTCATCAACTCACAACTCCTGATCTCCATTTTCTCCTGACACGGACAGATCGCAGAGATCTACATCTTGTCCCAGCCCTTCATGGTTCGGATCATGGCAACAGAGCCTCCTGTGATCAGTTTACTACCGGGTAACTTCACCCTGGACATCCCTGCCTCCATCGTGATACTCACCCAGTCTGAGAACTCGACTGCCGAAACCATCGTTTCCATGGACTTCGTAAGTCTGCGGGGACAGACAGGCAGCTTGTGGACACCAATCCTATTCCTGTAGTGGACAGCTGGCCAGCAGTCTACTAAATGCTTGAAGGGGTGGGAAGTGATACATCAGTTAGGAGTGAGGACAGGGGTGAGCCAGGGGTTGTGGGGAGAAACGGGAGGCCAGTGCTCAACTGCTATACATTGTAAAATAGCTCTGCACCCTTCTCTGCTTCCAGTGTGCCCTCCCTCCTGCGTGTCATGTTGATAGCCAAACTTCTTTATCCTTGAAGTAAGTTACTCAAGGTGGAATTCAAGTTTATTTGAGCAGATGAAGGCCAAGTGCAATTTGATAAAAAGGGACTAATACAGTGAACCTAAGCAAAATACCACACACACACACACACACACACACACACACACACCGTACACAGAGAAAAAAGATTAAGAGAAAATGGAAACATAGTTTAAAGGAGATCCTCAAACAGAAAGTTTTTATAGTTCGTTTTCTTACCTAAAAGACAGTATTTTTAGAATTATTCATTTCGAATACCTCTCAGAATGAGAGGGAAAGTGGAATTTAGGATGTTTCCACTATAGGGAATAATATCTATGGCCAATCTGTGGCCAGAGAGAGTCACTTCTTTAGTAATCAATGCTTCTGTTGTCTGCAGGTTGCTAGTACCAGTGTCAGCCTGGTTATTTTGGGACAAAGACTGATCTGCTCCTTGTCGCTGAACAGGTAAGGTCAATTGATTTGACTGTAAGTGAATCCATAGACCATGAAGATAAAGTGAACAAGCAAAGTTGCCATTGGATAGACCATGAATCATTTAAGGACTTCTGCAATAGTCAGATCCTTTCAGAGTAGGGACTTAAAAATGTGTTGCACCCTGGCTGGTTTTGCTCAGTGGTTAGAGCATCAGCCCATCGACCAGAGAGTCCTGGGTTTGGTTCCCGCTAAGGGCATGTACCTCGGTTGCAGTTTGTCCCTGCTCCTGGTTGGGGTCGTGTGGGTGGCAACCAGTCTCTCTCACATCAATGTGTGTCTCTCTCTCTTCCTCCCTCTCTCCCTCCCACTCTATTTGAAGATAAATGCAAAAAAGTCCTCAGATGAGGATAAAAAAAAAATGTGTTGCAAGATTTTTTTTTCTTCCCATTAAATAACACTAAGCTAAAATGGGCAACACAATAATTACAATTCTCTCATATAAATGCCCATTCTACTGGTACAGCAATATAAAACTGAAATCCCTCTGTAACAAATGCAGAAAGCATGCCATTGAGGAACGCGCATGAAACCTGGAGGCCAAAGAATGAAGTTTCAAATCCCTGCTCACTGGTTCCATAACCATGACCAAGTCCATTAACCTCCGAGTCTCAGTGTCCTTGTCTGTGAAATGATGAAGTGGAACTGACACCGGGGTCCCATTACCATAAGTTAGAGTTTGACGAGCCTGTGCCACATGGCCTAGCTGGCTCTCAGGTGCAAGCCATGTGGTGTGAAAGGGTTTGAGCAGGTCATATACACACACCATTGAACACTATTAGCCATTTGGTGGAATGGCCCATTTTCCTCAGCCCTATGAAGCCCATAGTTGAAGCCATGAATCAGATGCTACCTGGAGGGAGGATATATAGAATGATTAGATGGCCCAGATTAAATTTGTGAAAGGAAGAAACAAGGAATAAAACAGACAAAGAAGGCAGAGTCCAAAAAGAATAGGAAACCAACAGAGGAGAAAAGTCAGTCATTCACCATCAGTCAACTTGATGGTTATCAGGGCAATTGTAGAAACAAGAAGATGTTTTCAGTAAAATAATACTAAATGGAACAAGCAAAATACAGAACTGCAGGAACATATCAGTCAGCCTGTAGAATAGCTTTCCATTTGGACAAGGAAGAGGATAGCAAATGAAGAGCTGTGTTAAGTTAATAGATTGTGGGAGGTGCATTTTTCCTCAAAATTTTCTTTGTAACTAGAGCTGACCCTTGAATAATGCAGGGGTTAGGGGCACCAATACACCTCCCCCATTCGGTCAAAAATTAGCAACGACTTTTGACTCTCCAAAAACTTATCTATAGTTGACCCTTGGTATTTGACAGTTATTGGTTCCAGAAAACCCTGTGGATACCAAACTCCAAGGATGCTCAAGTCCCTCATATGAAATGATGTAGAACAATGCATACAGTCAGCCCTCTGCACCTGCAGATTCCCAGCCATGGGTCAAAAATACTGTGTGAATACTGGATGGTTGAATCCACGGATGTGAAATCCATGGATACAGAGGACTGATGGTATTTTTTTTTAAATATGCAATAGGTGGACCCACAGTTTGAACCTGTGTTGTTCAAGACTTAACTGTATATTGTCTTCCCAATGAAAAGAACAACAACAACAACAAAAAAAAAAAAAAAAACCAAAAAGGTAGTGTGACTTCCCAGAGACAAAAGATTCCAAGGTTTTACTCAATTTTTCTAAGCCCTTCAAAACAGGTCTTATTTCTCCATTAGGCTCAATAGGCACAGTGCCAAAAGCCTACATAGAGATCCATGAAAATGTTTTAAGATATTTAAAAATAAGAATAAAAAAATACTGAAGAGCCCTGGCCGGTTTGGCTCAGCGGTTGGAGCATCGACCTGCGGTCCAGAGAGACCCGGGTTTGGTTCCCACTAAGGGCATGTACCTCGGTTGCAGTTTGTCCCCGGCCCTGGTTGGGTTGTGCGGGTGGCAACCACTCGATGTGTCCCTTTCATGTTGATGTTTCTCTCTTCTTCTTCTTCTTCTTCTTCTTCTTCTTCTTCTTCTTCTTCTTCTTCTTCTTCTTCTTCTTCTTCTCTCCCTCCCACTCTATCTGAACAAAAATGGAAAAGTGTCCTCAGGTGAGGATAAAGAAAAAACAAAAACAAAAAAACACTGAAGACAATCAGCATGAATTATACTTATCTTTATGCAACACAGTCTTAAAATATAATGTATAGCTCTTTTTATGAAGGAAAGGTTTCCAAAAGCAAAAGTGCCTCAGGCCCTCCAAGAAGTCATAATGTGGCCCTCTTTCCAGAAGATCAAGGCTTATGAAACTCGGAACCTTGATGAGTGATCTCTGGGGTGGCCATTTTAATGGTTGGGCCAGAGAGCAGGAGATGAGGAAGGAAGAGGGAAAGCGAGGAGGGGCAGCAGCTGGGCGAGGCCACGAGAGGAAGGAGAGGACTTGGAATGGGGTTTGCCTGAGCAGCAGGACTGTGAGGACAGGTGAGCCCTCCATCTGTTTGAAGACTGAGAGGAAAGGGCTGATGGGGGCCCTGGGCGTCTGCAATGATGGGGAGAAGGGGGCAGGGCTGCTAACTGAGGCAGCAAGCTTCTCAGCAGGTGGAAACAACAGCTGCACTCAAGATGCATTCTGGTTTGCTGTCAGGATCCAAGGATCTAATATGGATGGGACCTTAGGCTTATGGCAGGCAGGTAGGAGAGACCTCAAGGAGCAGAGAGACTGGGTTTGCTTCTCTGCTTAAATCAGGCTGACCCTAATCTCCAGTGTTCCTACTGGTAAGAGACTGCGTGGTCAGTGGGCGTTGTGTTTACTTATGAGAGTAATTGGAAATACTTTGCTAAATTCACATCATCCAAAGAAATGTGTGAATCCATTTTCCAGTTTCCTGTGGTCCACAAGCAAGCTTTGACCTTGTGAACACACCTGCAATTAGCACTTCTGCCTTCTGGGAGGCTCCTTCAGAGTCTCATGCTGGGGAGGCATCCTGCATCCTGAGGCCTTAGTGGGGTCCGGCAGGACTGGCTACCTAATTTGCAAGACCCAGTGCAAAATGAAAATGCAGACCCCCTTGTTCAAAAAGTATGTAGAATTTCAAGATGGAGACAGCAGGGTCTTCAGCCAAGCAGCCTTCTGAGCAGAGGCCCTGTCCTAACCGCCAGGCTGCATGCATTGAGTCTGAGCGTGGCTCCTGCAAGAGGTGCCATAGCAAGCCTCAGAGTGAGAGGACTCAGGCCAAGGCAGGTGGGCCAGCTTCACTCAGGCTTCAGGCAGCCAAAGTGAAAGGCAAAACTTTGCAAAAAAGCGGAGGCAGCGCTGAAGAGCGTTAGCCTTTGGCAGCAAGTGCAGCAGTCCCGCCACCCACACAGGACACCCCAACCAGTGTCTCCACTCCTGAGTTCCGCAGGCAAGCGCTGCTTTTCAAGATGGGCTGGTTTCATCGGTGACGTCAGAGAGACACAGCAGGTAGGGCTGGAAAGTGGGTGGGGATCAGTGAAACATCCCTGACTTGGAATGTTGCACCGGGAAACCCAGGGTGTCCAAATACAGTTCTCTAGAACACTCCCGTTTTTCTAAGTACCCCCTGCCTGGAGGAGCCTCTTTCTGGAGCTGCTCAGGGTGGGCTGCCTAGACATGAGATGCAGAAATCAGAGGCACATCCAGAGTGGTGAGGTTAGAGACTAGGGGGATCACAGGCTTTGCAGTGGGACTAGCTGGTTCAGCTCCCAGCCCAGGCTCATTCGCTGTGGAGTCTCAGGCAAGTTTCTCAACCTCTCTGAGCCTCCATTTCCTCCTCCATAAAATGAGGATAAAATAAAACCTGCTTCAGGGTTTGTTGTGACGAATACATGAGTTGATAGATGTAAAGTACATGTTGTGTTCAAGAATGTGGACTGCTATTACTTAAAATATGGGGCTGGCCTCAGCCAGCAGAAAGTGGTGCTCAAATCAAACCGGATCATTTCAAGAGCTCCTCTGTTCAGAGAACATCTCACTCCCCTGTCTCCTGCCTAGTGCTGGTGCTTAGAGAAATCACCTTTCTTTGCTATTCATGATGACTCTTTATTATGGAACCTTCACTGCCTGCTGGCCCTGTGCCAAGCACTGCACATATATTGTTTCATGTACAACGCTGTATCTCCAGGACCTGGCACGGTGCTCAGTAAATGTCTGTAGACTGAATCGAGAACCCTGGAGGCAGGTATTATTATCTCCACGTTTCACTTTGTGGAGGTTCTATAACTACTCAAGTCACAGAGCTATTGAGTAGCGGAGCCAGAACTTGAACCTGCATGAGTCTGTTTTCAAAGCCTTGAGTGTTTGCTGACTAGATTATAGTGCCTTTGATGTAGTGAAGAGCTGAGACTTGGATGATAGATGCCCTTGCCCAGAAGCAGACCCCGTGAGCCTGGAGTCACACCGAGCTGAAACGGGCTGCACGTCCTCTCCCAGTGATAAGAGAATAGAAGAGACTGGCACTGGACACGGCCCTTTTCTCGCTGCATGAAGGACCTGGGTGAAGGAAGGGTAAAGAAAGCCAAAGCTGGGAGTACAAATGATAAACTTGACCTCTTTGGGTATGTCTAGTTAGAAGCTCAGGCTCTGGGGTCGGGCATATGTGAGTTTGAATGCTACCTCGGTCATTTGGAACTATGGGACCTCGACAAGTTAATCAGCCTCTCTGAGTGTCAGTTTCCTCTCCAGCAAAGCAGAGTGCCTCTCCGTAGAGTTGTTGCATGGGTAGATGAGCCGATGTGTGAAAAGCATGGTGCCCAGCACATTATCAGTGCTCAAGAAAGATCTGTTTCCACTAGTAGTGGTGTTTCATTCTCTATCCCCATTCTCTTTGGTTATTTTAAACCTGAAGGTATTTTTTTTATTGATTTTTAGATAGAGTAGAAGAGAGAGAGGGAAGAAGGGGGGGGAGGGAAACATCGATGTGAGAGAAACACGTCAACTGATTGCCTCTTGCATGACCCCAACCAGGGCCAGGAATCAAACCTGCAACCCAGGTACGTGCCCTTAACTGATAATTAAATCCGAGACCCTTTGGTCCATGGGCAACGCTCTAACTGCTGAGCCACACCAGCCAGGGCCTCTTTCCCCATTCTAGGGTCAAATTTTCACCAAGTAGGAGAGGGGAAATTGGTCCCAAGAGACATGACAGGCCAGGATGGTCTTAAAAGTGTGGAGTTGGCACTCAGTGTCATATACTAGACTCTTACTCTACAATGGAGAATTTTGTTCCAAACACAGTTCTATCTGGAGGTAACCCCAATACAAGTTGGCCCACATAGTAGACATTTTGAGATTATTTCAGAGGCCCAATGAAACAACACTTTCCCTTATTTGGTTATCATCCAGATGGCATAATTCTAACCCTCTTAATTACAAGCAAGGCTGAAGCAATCAAATGTACATTACTGTTGAACCATTTAGAACTTTAGATCTTTTTTTTTTTTTTTTTTTGCATTACTATGACTGAGGCGTTGGATGCTCCCAAACTGCACCCCACCCCACTACCATCAGCACACACACACATGCCCTACAACCCCTCCCATGCAACACCATCAGAAAATGCAAATATAGCTGACTACAAGCAGATAGAATCACCACCTAACTCCACTCCTCACAGCTTGGGTGGATAAGCATTTCCCCAGCTGAGCCATCATCTGGAGAGAAACCCAGAAAAGAAAACAGGTCTGGGAAGAATGGATTCAGTTTCTGTTGGAACAGTGTTTTGGACAGATCAGCAGAGCCCAGACTTAGCACCTGGCTTGACCTCCATCCCCACCCTTCCTCTTAGCTACTGTTAACGCCAGAACAGAGGAATGCCACTGTGGGGGGCCCATTGGAGGAGGGGAACCCCAATGTCTTCTTCCTCATGACTCTTTGGAGGAATTTCCAAACTGCAAAAGGCAAGGAAGTTAAAACACTGAGGAACTCTTCCTCATCGAGAGGACCCTGTCATACTGGAATAGCTCAACATATTCCTCCCCTCAAACCTTTCATCATTGGATTGGGGTTTTCAAGTTCTCCAATGATTGGTTCTGCCTTTCCCTAAAATGAGCGTTCTGCTGGTGGAATGAAACCCACACTGGCTCACCCTCAGAGTGACCTCAATCCCAATAAACACTCCCCCACTCATCTCTTTTATCTGCTCATTTATCCGTGTGTCCATTCAATGAGAGTTTAGTAAGCACCTGTTATGTGCTCTTGATACAGAGTGTGGAGAGGACAGTGGTTTCTACCTTCCAGATCCACAGCCTGGTGAGAGAAACACTCAGATTAACAGGCAGTTACAATACTGGGTGCAAAGGGACGTGGTAGTGTACAGAGCGTTTCTTTCAAAAGACAGTTTATTTCCCCATCACCACACACACACACACACACACACACACACACACACAACCCACACTGGCTTTTTTCCCTTTTCACACCTTCTCAGAATTCCTGCAGCAAGTCCATGTGGTGTGCAAACTCACAAAAGAACACCTGAATCCACACTGCTTTGCATTGCTCTCTAATTGCTTCTTGCACATACAGCTCTCTCTACCCCTCGCATAAATAAACTTCTGCACCTTGCATAGCACATTACTGAGCACAGAATGAGCACCTGGAAAACCTCTTCGGCCTGCCAGTCTTTCCTCCGTGGTGCAACCAGAGTGACCCGCATAGACCTCATCTCCCTTCTTAGAAACCTTCCATAGATTCCTTGCTCTTAGAGTAAATATCAAAATGCTAACATGGCCTGAGAAATCCAGCCTGGTCAACTTCATCTGCCTTTCTAGCATCATCTTGCTACACTCTCTCCCAAGCTGTCTCTTCCCTCCATGGATCCTTTGCAACCTTTGCCCAGACCCCTTCCCACTTCCTTCTTCATTTTGCCTTTTTAACTTTGCTCATCCTTCATATGTTAGCTCAAGGACATATTTTCCTTTTTTTAAAAATACTTCCTTTACCCATCAAGTAAGACCAGGTTCTTTTCTCATTTGCTTCCATGAAGGTATTTTTTTCCACCACAGAATTTATCTCAGTCTGCAATTACACCTTCATCAGTGGAGTTATTTGATTAGCCCCTGTCTCTCCACTAGGCTATAAGCTACATGAGACAGTGACTGTGTCTGGTTTTCCTCACAATCGTATCTACTGCACCTGTCCCAGGGTGGACATGTATTAGGTATTCAGTAAATATCTGCTGAATGAATGAATGAACAGTAAGTACCTAAATGTGCCATGCTCTGGGAATACAAAGTTAAGACTGAATTTCTATCCTCAAGGAGTTCAGTCAGAGGGCAAAGAGATAAACTGTTATTATAGGGTATTGATTGATTTTCAGTGTCTGACATGGCCACAGGGTTGGAGGAACGGCATTGTGTCTGTGCTTTGGTCCACCTGACCTTCATTATGTCAAATTTGCTATATTGACCCATAAAGGGCCTTTTGCTGTGCTTAAATGTTTGCACTTCAGCTGTGGTTTTCAATCGGGACAATAAACCTTCTCCAAAACTTTTGAAATAGGTTATACTCTTATAAGTCTGCAAGGTAGGGCTATTTGAGGTCCAGTTTTCCCCCAGGACTATGTGGTTCTGTAATAAAAATTAGTTCCTAGTGTCAAGGCTTTATGTAGCTGGTTAGGAGCCTGGTAGAGAATGAAAGGTCAAAGGAGTGAACTCAGTCGCCTCCTAGTGGTCTGAGCTGCACTTGCGAGTTTTTTCAGAACCAGAGGAAGGAGAGTTTGCTCTTTGCTCCACCTGTTTCTGGGTTGTTAGTGAGATGTGTCCATTAGTAAACTAATCTGGTGAGTGTGTCTAGAGAACGAGGAGCAAGATAGAAATAAGGTGTCCTTAGGAGAAAAGGATAGTCGGTTCACAGGAAACCCCAGACAAGCTCGCTCACAGCAGGTGGTCCTGAAGAGGCCAGTCATGGCTTGGGGCTGTGACGAAAGAAAGAAAACTCACAGGTGTGCTCCACCTTATGTAGGCCTAATTTCTAACCTGGTCTGGTATAACCAGGGGGAGGCATCCCCTCACATTTTCCAGCAGTGCCTTTAACAATTACACTGCATTGTCTTTGATGCCAGACAGCTATCATAGCTAACGTTGCCCGATGTGTTATGATTGGACAGATGAAAAATGGCGTAGGTGATACAGCCTCCTGAGAGCCTCGGCTAAGCAGTTGCTAACTCTGTGACTTGAGTAATTTAATTCTTTTCTCTGCTTATCAGTTTCCTCATCTGCAAAAGGGGCAACAATAATTGCATCTATCACAGGGTTACTGTGAACATTAAATTGTTAAATGTTTAGCCCTGGCCGGTTTGGCTCAGCGGTTAGAGCACCAGCCTGCGGTCCAGAGAGACCCGGGTTCAGTTCCCGCTAAGGGCACGTAACTTGGTTGCAGTTTGTCCCCGGCCCTGGTTGGGTCATGTGGGTGGCAACCACTGGATGTGTCCCTTTCACGTCGATGTTTCTCTCTCTCCTTCCCTTTACTCTATCTGAACAAAAAATGGAAGTGTCCTCGGGTGAGGATAAAAAACATAAAATAAAATAAATATTTATAAATCTTCTAAGCCAGAACATGTCATATAGCAGTGGTTCTCAGCCTTCCTAATGCCGTGACCCTTTAATACAGCTCCTCATGTTGTGGTGACTCCCAACCATAAAATTATTTTTGTTGCTACTTCATAACTGTAATTTTGCTACTGTTATGTCTTAGGCAACCCCTGTGAAAGGGTCGTTCGACCCCCCAAGAGGGTCGCGACCCACAGGTTGAGAACTGCTGTCATATAGTATCATTGCTATCACCATCATTGTCATGCTCATTAATAAGAAAGCAGCCTAGACCAGAGAAGTTATGAGATTGAGTTCAGAGCAAGAAGACCTGAAACTGTTCCACCAAACAAGTGCTACCCAGGCCTAACCCTGCTTAGCTTCAGAGATCAGATGAGATTGGGCACATTGTGGGGGGTATGGCTGCAGACTGAAAATATTTCCTAACATAGTTCTGCATTCCAAGTTGCCAACAGTAAGTCCCACAGAGTAAATGCATATGGGGAGCCCAAGCCTTCTGTTATTCCTGCTCTGCTTCTTAAGCAGCAAATATAGGGGTAAAGATGTAATAGAGTCCTGCCCCGGCTGGTTTGGCTCAGCGGTTAGAACATCGGACCATGGTCCAGAGAAACCCCGGTTCGGTTCCCGCTAAGGGTATGTACCTCAGTTGCAGTTTGTCCCTGGCCCTGGTTGGGTCATTGCGGGTGTCAGCCACTCGATGTGTCCCTTTCATGTCGATGTTTCTCTCTCTTCCTCTCTCTCCCTCCCCCTCTATCTGAACAAAAATGTCCTCGAGTGAGGATAAGAAAAAGAGAACATCATGTCCTTACAAGACTGGGTGTGTTTTTTTCTTTTAAATAGCAACTTATTGAGCCAAAACAAACAAACAAAAAAAACCTTATCCTATTTGTTTCTTTCTGTTTAAACTGTTGTTTTAAAATATTCCTCCTTTAACCTTTTCCTATTGGTGTTGTTTTATTTTGTTTTCAGATTCCGCCTCTCTTTGCCAGAGTCCAATCGCAGCAATATTGAGGTAGGAATCAGAGTCCCAGAGTTTCCTGTCCAGGGAGAATGAGAATTGTATATAGTAGCTGGATGATTATCTTCTCTGCCTCTGAGTAGTACTTGGCCTTCCTATGCATGTAGATTCTAACTTTAAAATTGTTTTTTTAGACACTGTTCGGTCCACCAAGCCCATTAACTATTAAACAAGAGGGGAACTCTCCAATTCACTTTTGTCTACTCATACAGACTTTTAAAAAGAACTCAAAAGACTATTAAGGCATTGTGTAATGTTGGGGGAAAAGGCATTTTCAGGAAGATTTTATTTTTTGGACAAAGCAACCCTCTACATTTAAATTTTAAGATCTGGACTGCCAAAGGATGAGGCTCTGTATCAATTATTAGGCTATGATCAAGTTTGTTCCTCAAATGCTTTCTAGCCAACTCCTAAAATTAGGTCAAGGCTGGTTGTATGATACCTTTTTGGGGGGCCCAATCTGGTGATCTCCTGATTGGAAGAGTATATCCCAACATGCTACTTGGAAAACCCTCCCATCCTCCAGGCTTCAGGAAGATCAGCCAAATCACTCATTGGTGTCCAACTCTCGTGGCGCTTATATTCTAGAGCAGTGGTTCTCAAGTAGGATTCCTATGGATTAGCACCTCTGTGGCATAGCCTTTCGGTAAATGACACACTATAGCTGATGAGAATGCATAGCTGACTATCTTATTAATATTTCCTGAGCCCAGAGGAGTAAAAAATGAGTCCAAGTCTTCCAGGAAGACCCAGACCAACTGCTTACTATCAACAACAGAGTGTACTAAGCATGACTTTTCTGGGGCGGGGGGGGGGGGGGGAGGGGGGACAATGGCATATACCAGGCATATTAACTTGTGTAATGCTGACAATACCCTATGAGATTAGTACTATTATCCTCACTTTACAGTTGAGGAGCTTGAGGCACAGAGAGGTTAAGGAACTTTTCTAACATCACACAGTCAAGTAAAAACAAGAGGAAGTCTGCTTCAGAGCCCTTGCTAAGCTGCAAAGAGGTCCTTATTATTGCTAAGCCTATAAGATGCTCAAAAAAGAGTCATTGAGTGAATTCATGTTTATCATAGTCCATTTATTTTTAATACCTGGATCTTCCCAGTAACCACCACTTTGCTAAGATTATACAGGTACCATAGTTCATTAAAGATAAATTGGGCAACCTGGTGATACCATTAACTGTGGAGCATGACATAATACAAGGGAACTGCGGTGGCTGAGCTTCCCAGTAAATTAAGGAAAGATTACTAACTGGTATATGTATTAGTTGAGATTGTCTTACTTAGTAGATATGTAAGTTGCCATGTTTGCTGCCCACATGTGGTCACTCTGCCTTTGTTGCCATCATGATCCATGATCCAGCCACAGGAAAGCAAAATGTTCATCCTCCAGGAGGAAAAAGGATTGGGAAACTCTGTGATATGGTTTCCCACAAAATAGCTTTCACTGTCTGGAAGTTAGAATAGTATCTCCATGGGGAGATTCTAATTATAGCTCTCTATCCTGATAAGGTCTGGGAAAGTGCAGGTCCAAACCAGGCACGGTACATTCAAAATGCCCTGACTTGGCAACTGATTTCATTTCCCCTTTCATTTTAGGTCTTGAGGTTTGAAAATATTCTGTCCTTCATTCTCCACTTTGGCATCCTCCCACTGGCCAACGGTAAGAGGTTCTTGGGAAACAATGTGACTCTGACATTGGCTGAATGTTGGGGATTGTTTGGGACTTTCCACCCAAAGCTTGTACTTTAGAGTATTATTATGAATCCATGCCAGTGCTAGAATTTGCAACATTTGTACAATTAACAATACAGTTGCAAAAGTTGTTATCCCAGGGCCAAGCTTTGTTCGCAACTCTATTTGAAGACGCAAAAGGAAAGACTATCTCTGGCTGTATTAAGGAGATTGAAACATTCTCCTTACACAGAGTCTCCTTCAGCCAGAAGTGACATTATTCTCTTTAGCAGTTTATGTCTCTGTGATTCTTATGCAAAGACCACCATCTGGATAGACACAGTTTATATGAATGACGATTGTTCACACACAGCAGCATCTTGAGTTTGACTTAATTAAAGTATGCTTTGTATTAGAGACCAGAATGTAACCAGGACCTAAGAAGTAAGGTATTTTCAAAATATAGATTGGATAAGATGCCAGAATTTTTTTTTGCCATCCAAATGCACACAATTGCAGGTGCCTTTCTATTAAGCACGGATCAATTAACCATTCTTGGGGGGAAATGATAGGGACATATCAGAGAAGATGAAAACAGAACCAGAAAGAATGAAAAGATAATTTATTAAAAAGCTGCTTGCTAGTCTTTTACTAAAAAGCTTGCCAAAACTGCTGTGCCTGTGCCCAATTATTTTACATCTTGTTTTATATTTTAGCAAAACTGCAACAAGGATTTCCTTTGCCCAACCCACACAAAATCTCATTTGTCAATTCAGATATTGAAGTTCTTGAGGTAAGAATGTGAATGTTCTCTTAACTGCCTCATTTCTTTTCATCGTAGAATAAGCCTCTTTCTATTTGCTTGCTTTTGTTTTATTTTGTTCTGCTTTGTCTTTTTCCCGGCCTAGGGAATTTTATAAACAAAACGTTTAGCTATTGAAGCTTGCCATTCACACGAAAAGCATTTCAACTCCATTTTGAAAATCAGACCAGGTCCAATTTTCTTTGGCAGTCAAATGCATTCACATCTTAGAACAAGGTGCACTGCAGTGCGCTTTGTGTCCTTCATGCCCGAAGACAACGAATAAGGATGGCAGTACTGGTCCCATTTTATAGGTGTGGAAAGTAAGATTCAGAGAGGTGAAGGGGCTTATATAGCTGGCAAAAGGCAAGCCTGGAAGGCAGGGGGAAGGGAGGAAGTGACACAGTAGGATCTGGTAAAGAAGGCATCTCTCCCTGACCCCTCAGGTAAACCCAGACACCCTATGGCTGTAGATGCCTAAAGTTTAACCTTGTCTTCCTTGTTGCATCTTTTTCAGCATTTTCTTTTGATTTCCACTGACCTGAAGTATGAAACGCCCTTAAAACAGCAACCAAGTTTCTATGGTTGGGAAGGTCTGAACTTGATAAGTGGACGGTGGAGAGGGAAATCAGTCCCCTGATTGCCTGTTTGGAGTCCACTCCAGGAAGTAAACCGCCCTTAATCCCACCTACTGTAAACCCAGAGGGAGAGGACAGTGCACAGTGGAGTCTTAAAGTTCTTCTAAAGTGCCAAGGCTAAAAGTTTTCTTTCCCAAGCCTTCAGGGTCAGAGGGAGGCAGACTGGGTTAAAGAGTTAAATGAGGGTGTGTGTGTGTGTGTGTGTGTGTGTGTGTGTAGGGAAGGACATTTAAATGTGTGTTCATGTTTCAATGCTTGTTGTGTATTCCTGTGTTTATAAGATTCTGTGGCCAAGAGCTAGGCATGTACTTCTGACGAGGTGCATGACAAATCTCAAGTACAGATTTGAATCGGTGTTGCCAGTGGAGATCCCTTCAGCGCTTTCAGCTCTCTAGGGTTCTCCCCCTCCCTGCATATTGGATTGTATGTTTTATATTTACTGCTACTGTCCCCTGTATTTAATTAAAATTGTTTTTCTATCAATGTCAACCTTGTCTTTTATTTGCAAAATTTCCTGGCCCAGATTTTTAAAAAATAAAATAAGACAGAAAAGAGGGAAGAGAATATAGCATCTTTAATGCTGATGAAAACTGAGGTTGTGCAGATTTCAAGGCTTGGTTTTGCCTCTTAGGTGTTTCCAATGAGAAACAGGGTGGTCATAGGAAACTCTTAGAATTGTATCACTTCTTTAAGTTTTAGGATGTTTTCCCTCCCAAAGTAAATGAAATGGCAAGGCAGAGCACTAACCCTAGATAACTCACAGCTGATGATCACATTAATGTCATTAGAGCACCTAATCAATGGGGTGTAATTAGGGCAAAAGAAGAGGAAAGGGAAACTGGTATGAGTGATGTGAGAAATGAATAGAAACCATGCACTTTGTTTCTGTGTTACTTACAATCTAGTGGGGCGGGGGGAGTGGAAGAGAGCCTTGACTGGAGTGCTAACCTCATACCAGACCCCATGTAAGTTACTTCAGGAGTGTCGGTTCGTTTCATTCTCACAGCCTCTCTATGAAGGATTATGATCCCATTTTATGGATGAGATACAAAGATCAAGAGAGATTAACCACACAAAGCTGGTAAACAGCAAAGGTAGAAGTTCAATACAAGTCTTTCTGATTCCAAAGTCACTGTTGTTTACGAGAGGTAGGACTAGAAACTGCAATCACTTAATGCTCACTTATTACTCTGAACAAAAGACACTGTGAAGTAAAGTATGATCATACAGTACTGTCACCCGGGAATGCCAGACTGGGAAGCCCCAGCTATCCACAGAGACTGGCATGGACTCATTCTGCAGCACCCATCTGGCCATAATAGCTGCCCCCGTAAGTATTTTTTGTAATAAAACCATCACGTTTCATTCTTTGGGGTGCTCTTTCCTGCCATAAAAGCTATTCAAGGTATATCTGCAAATTCATTCTGAAACATTACAGATGTTCAGTTTGTGATATTTATTTAAACATGTTCATCTTAGCTGCAGACATCTTTCTCCCGTCACTGCTGGGGATGAAACTCCAATCTGATTTATTCGTTAGAGCAGCCGGACCCGACCCAGATTCAGCACGTTATTCAGTATTACAAGCATTTCCAACACAAAAAATAGCTGGATCACACTAAAAACTACCGGATTTAGCTAGCTTAGCTTTAGCCTGGAAGACAATGACTAGTAAATATCCGAAAGGTAAACACTAGAGGGCAGTCTAACTTAAGTGAGAGAAAAGCGGTAGTGCAACGCGTTTAGAGCCTCGGCACTTGCCGTAGCCCATCCTGCCGCGGAGCCAGCCGCGCAGGCGCGTTGAGTTCCGGAAGGTGGTGCTTCAGGCAACGGGACAGCGCGGCATCTCCTCTCGAAGCGGTGCCGGGAGTTGCTACCGTGGTCGCCGCCATGAGTCGCAATTACAACGATGAGCTGCAGTTCTTGGAAAAGATCGATAAAAATTGCTGGAGAATCAAGAAGGGCTTCGTACCCAACATGCAGGTGAGGGGGGGAAGCGAGACCCGGTGGGGGGGTCTTCCCGGCTGGGGCCCGCGGCGCCTCCGCGGCCACCCGGCGCAGCCTCCTGCTCGCCCTCCCGACACCCCGCTATCCCTGGAGCCGCCCCGCCCGCAGCAGAGTTTCTCCCGCTGCTCTCTGGCCTCAGGACTGCCCGACCTGTGCTGCCTCGGCTGCTCGCAGGAGAGGCCCCCAAATCACGTGGGTGGCGAAGGGGATGTGTCTCTAGGGTTTCCAAGTACATAGTTGGCGTTCGCGAACCGTTTCCCCCCGTATGTAGGTCACAGACGGGCCGGGAGAGGTGCCGCATTCCCGAGCTTCAGAGACGGTAGCCGCCTTTACCAGCTGGCACAGCCAGCCCGGGGTCCAGTGGCTGGGACTGGAACTCCATGCCTGCGAGCCATGCTGGCCATTTAAGTGACCTTTACAGATCTGTGTTCGCTGAGCCAGTTTTTAACACTCTCTGCTCCGCGTTGGTTTTTGACAAAACGGTTTTGTTCCTTGAAACAGCCTAGAACATTCACAGGGCGGGTATTGTTTGTTTTAATATTCACTTCGCAGAAGGACCTTAAGGCACAGTCACTACTTCCTCTGATAGGATGGAGACTGGGGAGTCCAAACCAGAGAGTTGGGAAGCCGGGGCTGCCTGCATCTCTGGGGCTTCATTGCCATCTGTGCCCATTATCTTCCATTAAAGTAGAGAAACAAGGAAGGCATTTGTGAGGTTTTGGTGTGTGTGTTGTTAAATGGCTTTTGAAAGCCTTTAAGGGGTCATACAGGTGCACATCCTGTCTTGGTAGAAGTTCTTGATAGTCACTCCATCTTTTTATTCAATATCAAAACTTACTGAGTGTCCCCAGCGAAGGCCCACAGTCCTAAAGCCTCCTTTTTCCTGTTTTCCACCTGGCCGGTTTCAGTGCATGGTTGTTCCCTGAATGAAGAAGTAGAAAATAAAAATGACCGTGACACAATCATCATGAAGAGATGGTAACACACACAGTCGTTGTTTGGCAGCCATCTGGCTTACCTTTGGAGGCACACTGCTACTCATTCTAACAGAAAGTCGGATTTTGCTAGGCACTTCTGGTTCACCTCTTTGTACCACACTTTACTACCGTCTGTCCCTTGAGAAAGGGGAATTGGGATCTTGAATTGCTTTTTAAAGGTTGCTGACAGCTATGCCAGACTGACATTGTATTCCCATTCTCATGAGAGTCATGAATTTCACACGAATAATTGTCCTTTGTTTTGTAATCTCCATTCCCCCCCACAAGACTCACATGCTCCCAAAACCACTCCCCTGCAATCTCTGTTATCTGTGTGTTCAGCTCCTAAATGTGCTGCTGTTCCAGTGATAGCTCATCTTTAAAGAACCAACTCAGCTAATAGCAGAATGAACAAAAAGTGTGCAACGGGTGAAGCTTCCCCGGGCTCCCTAAACCATTGAGCCACTTCTTCATCAGATTCTTCATAGCACTGTGTACTTCTGTTAACAGCACTTGCCTCACTGTGCTCTTAAATCCCTTGTCTGGGCTGCATCCTAGCCAGAAGCCCCTCAAGCAGGATCTTGCATATTTTTTGTCTCCCCTCGTGCCCGGTGTAGTACCCGACACATAAGTCCTCAGTAAACGGTTGGGGAATTAATGTTACCCTTTGAAATTGTACTAAAGAGCCCTGGCCAGTTTGGCTCCGCGGTTAGAGCGTCAGCCTGCAGTCCAGAGAGACCCGGGTTTGGTTCCCGCTAAGGGCAAGTACCTCAGTTGCGGTTTGTCCCCGGCCCTGGTTGGGTTGTGTGTGTGGGTGGCAGCCACTCGATGTGTCCCTTTCACATCGATGTTTCTCTCTCCCCCCTTCCCACTTTATCTGAACAAAAAATGGAAAACTGTCCTTAGGTGAGGATTTAAAAAAAAAAAGAAATTGTACTAAAGATATTTTCTGTCAACTGGTGGTGTTATTCATGCTGTGGTAAGATGTAGAAGTCATCTTTCTGATGAAAGAAATTTACTTGTCTGGATGATTGAGTGTTAAATCTTTGATTCTTCTTTACTCGCCAGTTCCTTCATAATATTTGATCTCTGATAAAAATGTTCTGGCCTTTGATAATTTAATAAGTGTATCTTTATTTGCCTTTTGTGTGCCCCTTTATCAAACTTCTTTATCCTCTTAGGATTATAGCAGTTATAGAACTGAACACACAACTACATAGTTACACGTTAAATTTTGTTTTACTCACCATTTACCTAAGTACAGACTTATAAATCACCATACGACACAATAAAGTGCAATGTGCTGCTTGTTGTCTTAAGCACAAAAAAAGTACACTGAAGTTAGATGACGGCAGTTTTATGTTTGGAATTTAAAATTTTGATTCATCTGATTTTTTGAAATCCATTGATTTTCCCCCCATTTTTATTGAATTTATTGGGGTGACACTGGTTAACAAAGTTATACGGGTTTCAGCTGCACAATTCTACTACACATCATCTGTACACTATGTTGTGGTTCACCACCCCAAGTCAAGTCTCCATCCATAACCATTTATCCTCCTTTTACCCTCTTCTACCTCCCCCTACCCCACCTCTCTCCTGGCAATCGCCACACTAAATCCATTGGTATTTTAGAAACACAAAATACCTTTTGGCAGTGAGAGCAATTGGAAGACTTTATCACAGATACAAAGTTTTTTACCTGTGAAATTCTTAAATGTGGCTTTGAGAGTAGGAGAATGAATAAAAACAATTTGTGAACATTTCAAAATATACATTTTTAAGATACACAGTTGACCCTTGAGCAACACAGGTTTGAAATGTATGGGTCGCCCTGGCCGGTTTGGCTCAGCGATTAGAGTGTCGGCCTGTGGTCCCGAGAGACCCGGGTTCGGTTCCCGCTGGGGGCATGTACCTCGGTTGCAGTTTGTCCCCGGCCCTGGTTGGTTGTGTGGGTGGCAGCCACTCGATGTGTCCCTTTCACATCGATGTTTCTCTCTCTCTTCCTCTCTCCCCCTCCCACTCTACCTGAACAAAAAATAGAAAAAAGAAAAAAAAAAAAAGAAATGTATGGGTCCATTTATACACAGATTTTTTCAATAAATATTATACATGTATTTTCCTTATGATTTTCTTTTTTTTTTTTTGTATGTGCCCCTAGTGGGAACCAAACCTGGGACTCTGATCCATAGGCCAATGCTCCAACCACTGAGCCAAACTGGCCAGGGCCCTTATGATTTTCTTAATATTTTTTTCTCTAGTTCACTGTAAGAATACAGTAAGTGAAGATATATAATGTACAAAATATGTGTTAATCAGCTGTTCATGTTATCAGTAAGGCTTCCAGCCAATAGTTGGGCTATTCATAGTTAAGTTTTGGGGGAGTCAAAAGTAATACACAGCCCTGGCTGGAGTGGGTCAGTGGTTAGAGTGTCAGCCCATGGACTGAAGGGCTGCAGTTTCGATCCCCAGCCCAGTCAGGGCATGTGCGAGAGGCAACCAATCTTTGTGTCTCTCTCACCTTGATGTTTCTTTCTCTGTCCCCCTCCCTTCCTCCCTTACTATATCTCTTAAAAAAACAGTCAATGGAAAACATATCCTCCGGTGAGGATTAACAACAACAACAAAAAGTTACACATGGATTTTCAACTGCGTGGCAGGTGGGGAGGGAGCCAGTTGTCAGTGCCTTAAACCCTCACATTGTTCGGGGGCAACTGTATTTAAGGATGGGAACATCTTGTACTTTTTGATAAGAAGTTTTCTGCTTGTTTAAGGTAATGTGAAAATACTTTATAAATAGTAAAGCAAAGTGAATATTGCATACAGTATTTGTATTCTATCCAGTGTCTGTAATCATATACGTGTACTCAGACAGTTTCTCATTTTCTTTGGTACCAGGTTGAAGGAGTTTTCTATGTGAATGATGCCCTGGAAAAATTAATGTTTGAGGAATTAAGGAATGCCTGTCGAGGTGGCGGTAAGTACATTAGAATTTTACGTGTGGTAATGTAAGTAGTGTCTTCCCTGTAGCCTGAGAAATATGATAATTCAGGTAGTACATTATTTAAAAAATACAAAAACATTGTCAAGAAATGACCAAGACTTGAAATAAGACCAAAAAAAAAAAAACAAAAAACTCTAGCCCTGGCCAGTTTGGCTTGACAGTTAGAGCATCGGCCCACAGACCAACGGGTTGCTGGTTTGATTCCAGTCAAGGGCACGTACCTCAATTGCGGTTCGTCCCCAGCCCTGGTTGGGGTCGTGCAGGAGGCAACCAGTTGATGTGTCTCACATCGATGTTTCTTCCTCTCTTCCTTTCTCTCCCTCCCACTCTATCTGAACAAAAGTGAAAAAATATCCTCAGGTGATGATTTAAAAAACAAAATTATTTGTGGTTATATTATTAGCTACCTGACCAGGTAGAAACCATTTGGAGTTGGATGGACCTGGTTGGTTTTTAAGCTAACCTTGGATAATGGTAAGAGCAACCATTTATTGTGCACTTACTGTGGGCCAGGCACTTTACTAGGTGTTTTATTTAGGTTATCTCATGTAATTCTTAGAGTAACTCTAAGAGGAAGATACTGTCTCCATTTTAAAGATGTGTGAATCAAGGTTCAGTGAGGCTAAGTCATGTTAATTTGTCCAAGGTTGCACAACTTCTTGGTGACAGAGCCAGGTTTCAGACCCAGGAGTACCTGATTCCAAAGTCAGTATTTTTAACCAGTAGTCTGATTAGCCTCACCTAATTTCAGTTATCTCATCTATAAAAGAGAGTTTATTACACCTATTTTGTAGGACTACAGAGAGGTTTAGAGATGAATATATGAAAGCTCTTATACAAAGCTCTAGTAGAGATGGTGGAATTGAAATCTAAAATTAACCCTTTTAGCCCGGCTGGTGTGGCTCAGTGGTTGAGCATTGATCCATGCACCAAGAGGTTGCCGGTTCAATTCCCAGTCAGGGCACTTGCCCAGGTTGTGGGCCAGGTCTCCAGTGGGGGGCACACAGTCCAGATGTTCTCTCTCATCAGTGTTTCTGTCCCTCTCTTCCTCTCTCTCTAAAATCAATAAAGGAAAAATATTTTTTTTAAATAAAATTAATTCTTTTATTTTTTTAGATCAACAAACTAAATCCCACCCACATTCTGCCAGGGTTTGTTGACTTGCCTGAAGCGACACAGCAACCAGTGACAAAGCTGGGACTAGAACCTTTGGTCCCCTGACTTTTAACCCAGCTCCACATTGCCGTTCTTTGTCACTTAGAGTGAAACCAATGTGGATGTTTTTGCTAAACAATGTGAACTGTGAAAGAATACATTTTTTATATTGACAACATAATGTTTAATAGTTATGTTTTACATCTCCCAGTACATTTGCAGACAACCTTTCCTGGTTTGCAGAACACCGACAGGTGTTTGTCATCAGCCTGGCTGCCCTCAATACATTTCTGCACACGTGCTGCCTTCACACTTCCATCTCCAGCATCCGTCTGTGCTTTGTTTCAGTAGCCCTGATCCCTTCCCTCGTGCAGCGTGGTCTAGAAATGCATGAATGTACTTATAAAAATCAAATGTGTGCTCTTCTGATTTTGAATTTTTGCCTTCAGGTGTTGGTGGCTTCCTGCCTGCCATGAAACAAATTGGCAATGTGGCAGCCCTGCCTGGGATTGTTCATGTGAGTCCATGTTCAGAGTTTTAATCATTTACATTTTTTCTTAGCCTAACAGTTGGGGAATGGATGAATCGCCATGCCTAACAGAGAGTGGTGTCATTTAGACAGCGACCTTTGAACATCTAGAAATAACCATGGGACATAAAGAAATAATTGCGCCTGAATAACACACAGGTTCTAGTTGCCTTTGGCTATAGTCTGTAAGAACTTGAAAACCTTTGAAGTAGTTTTTAATGTGTTCTTTTGTGTGTGTGTGTGTGTCGTTGTATATCATTTTTTTTAGATTAGTATACCACCATTGTAGTTTTCACTGTGACTTATTTAAGAGGATGGTTGGAGAAGGAATGGAAAGAAATTTAAGGGTTGGAACTGAGGAGAGGGAGAGAGGACAGTATAGCTATTCTGGACATGATTGACGATGACAGAGATAAAACTGGGTAGTACAAGTGGGCTCCCTCTGCAACCTAACGTTCAGATTCCACCATTACAGACATGTGTTAAAATGAATCAATTCTTCAGACCTTTTTTTTTGAGGTCTTTAGGCCAGTTACTATGCTGGGCAATGGGGTGGGGGAGGGGGATAAAAAGAGATAGCTTATGTATATGAAGAACTCATAGTGTCTTCGTGTCTCCATAAATCCTCACCATGTTTGACTTGCATTCATCTGAGTTAGGATCCCTTTCCAGGTCCCAGATTTAGAAAGTATATAGTATTCATACCACTAAATGGATGGTATTTGTCTGTGGTTGCTTAAACACTAAGGACCTGTATAAATTGGATATTTTTAACCTGACATGACCACAGTTTGTCAGTGTCTATCTTTTAATGTCTTTAAAATGTGATAATACAGCCCTGGCCGGTTTGGCTCAGCGGTTAGAGCGTCGGCCTGTGGTCCAGAGAGATCCGGGTTCGGTTCCCACTAGGGGCATGCACCTCGGTTGCAGTTTGTCCCCGGCCCTGGTTGGGTCATGCGGGTAGCAACCACTCGATGTGTCCCTTCACGTTGATGTTTCTCTCTCTCTCTCTTCCTCTCTCTCCCTCCCATTCTATCTGAACAAAAAATTTTAAAAATGTCCTTGGGTGAGGATAAAAAAAAAAATGTGATAATACATCCAAGTTAGTCTGGGGTCCTCCTGTGTCGCGTTGTGCTGAGGCTTTCCTGTTTTAGGGTTCCTTCGTTAATGATCAGACATTGTAAGAAGGATTTCCTCCACTGTGGTACCTTCATGAGTAGGAGTTTTTACACCTAATTTTCACCAGTAGACAATACTTGATGAAACTAGGATCTTGATTTGGGGAAGGCTTTAGCCTGCAGCCTCTTTGAGGATCAGTATCAGGCCTATCAGACAGCCAGAGTGCCAGGTGGAGAAAGCTGTGTTTCATTTTCTCATTGTCTTTCAGCGATCTATCGGGCTCCCTGATGTCCATTCAGGTTATGGGTTTGCTATTGGGAATATGGCAGCCTTCGATATGAATGACCCTGAAGCAGTGGTGTCCCCAGGTAAGGTGACGGCATGCTGCTGTCAAGTTTGTAGCTCTTCTCAGTGTGTCATCACCTCTCCGAACTAGAGCATGACTGCTTCCTGTGTGTGCATCTCTGCCTCATCTAACGCTATCATTTCGTTTCCTCATTTACTGACAGAATTAATTGTGGACACTCAGAGGCTATTAAAATACCAAGTAAAGCTTATATTTATGAGAATTCTTCAGGCTTTTACTATATGCCAGGCACTATTCAGACATTGGCTACAAAACAGACTGGAACACTTTTCTGGCAAATTATGTGTCTTTATGTCCCAGTTACCTCTTGGGCAAATTTGAGCATTATTGTAAGGATTAAATGAGTGAAGCTGTTGCCCGGCTGGTGTGGTTCAGTGGTTGAGCATTGACCCATGCACCAAGAGGTCACCGGTTTGATTCCCAGTCAGGGCACTTGCCCAGGTTGTGGGTCTGATCCCCAGTGGGAGACATGCAGGAGGCGGCCAATTGATTTTCTCTCTCACTGATGTTTCTCTCTCTCCCTCTCTCTCTCTCCCTCCCCCTCTCTCTAAAAGTCAATGAAGAAAAAAAAGTTTAAAAAAAAAAAATGAGTGAAGCTGTATAAAGTACTTGGAACAGTGCTGGGCACAAAGGCAACTAGATGTTGCCTTTATTGTCATCATTATTCACCTCCAGTGGTGTATGTCTTATCTGCTGTGGGTGCTTTCACTGCAAACATTTTACATCAGAAGTAACATCTTTGCTTTAAGAGTCTGGGGATAAAAAGAAGTATAAATTACATCCTGAGAGTTCTGCCTCTGGCAATGGTGAGCATGACTGTTTCAGATTAATCCTTTGTTGAGAATAACAAGAAAGGCTGAATAAAAGAAATTTTAATCTGTTTGAGGGCATAGGAAAGCTATTACGGCAGTAAGAATTGGTGAGGCTACAATCCAGAGAAAAAGAAAATAAAAATACATGAGCTGCACATTTAACACTGTTTTTCTCTTGAGGGATGGCAGATTTCAGTTAGGAGGGATATAGATGATTTGAACAATGCAGTTGACAAACTTGGCACCTTGGCCTCTAATCTACGTGCATGGTTGTGTGTGTGCACACATTACAGTGCGTCTAAGAACTACAGAAGACACATTTTTTCCAAGTGCACACAACATTTACAAAAATTGACCAGGTGTTGAGCCAGAAAGCTGGTCTCAAACTTCAAAGCATTGAAATCATAGAGAGGCAGTTCTCAGAAATTTTGGACTCAAGACCCCTTTACACTCTTAAAATGTTTTGAGGGTTGATCTCAAAGACTTTTATCAATGTTTACCTTACTAGACATTAAAGCTGAGACATTTCTGCCCTGGCTGGTTTGGCTCAACAGTTGGAGCGTCGGCCTGCGGTCCCGGATTCGGTTTCCGCTAGGGGCACGTACCCCCCCAAAAAAAAATTTCAAAGCTGAGATATTTCTAAAACAATAAACATACAAGTACATATTTCATTATCCATCAGAGAAAACATGGTATCAAATGTCATGTAGTCTTTGGAAAATTTTACTGTACACTGGAGAATAAGCTTAAAAGGCTAATAATATCTTAGCATTATTTTACAGTTAGTCTTAGACCTGAAAAGATCTCTGGACCACACTTTAGAACCACTGATATAGAGGATACTCCTACCACAGTGGAATTAAGTTAGAAATCATTAACAACAACAAAACTTTTTTTGAAACCTCATATATTTATAAATTTAACACTATGCATTTAAGTAACCTACGGGTCAAAAATCATAATGGAAATACAAAATAAGCCCAACTAGTGTGACTCAGTGGTAGAGCATAGACCCATGCACCAAGAGGTCACCGGTTCGATTCCCGGTCAGGTCAGGGCACATGCCCAGGTTGTGGGTCCAGTCCCTAGTGGGGGTCAGGCAGGAGGCAGCCAGTCGATGTTCTCTCTCATCGATGTTTCTTTCTCTCTCTAAAAAGTCAATAAAGAAAACAAAACTTTTTTAAATAAAAGAAATACAAAATAACTTAATATTAATAAAAAATACTTATGTCTAAAAATTTTGAGTTACTGTTAAAGTAATACTTGGACAGAAATATATAGCCTTAAATGCACAAATTAGAAAAGAAAAAGGTTGAAATATCAATGATATAAGCATCCATTTCAAAAAGTTAGAGAAAGAACAACAAATTAAAAACCCAAAAAAAGTATTAAGATGGACATAGAGAAGAGTACAATTAATGAAACAACAAACAGAAAAGATCAACAAAGCCAAAAATTGGTTCTTTGAAAAACCTATTAGAATTCATAAACCTCCAACAAGAGTGATCAAGAAAAAGAAGAAACACATAATCCACATTTTAATCTCTGGTCTAGATGTTCCTCGTTGTTCATTATTGCTTCTCTGGCCTACAAAGTACCCTTAGTATGTCCTTTGCTTTAAATTGTTTTCAGATCATCAGGCTTGACCCACAGAGAACCACTTTATTGGCTACTATATATAAAAGTTATTTTTTAAAGAATGGCTGTCTTTTAAACCTTCACCACAGGTAACAATGGTTTTCCTAATATTTAACTGATTATTCTGTTTTGTAGGTGGTGTCGGATTTGACATCAACTGCGGTGTTCGCTTGCTAAGAACCAATTTAGATGAAAGTGATGTCCAGCCTGTGAAGGAGCAGCTTGCCCAAGCTATGTTTGACCACATTCCTGTTGGGGTGGGATCAAAGGGTGTCATCCCAATGAACGCCAAGTAAGAGCACAGTTTGCAATAAATGGAGTGAGAGAAATAATACCCACAAGACCCTCACACTCATTTCCAATGCAGGACACTTAGGAGATGGGGCTTGTTCAGCCTCTTTTCAGGAAATGATAATGAATTGGTTTTTTAAGCATGAGGGCCAGCCCACTTTGAAAAGCATACCTGGAGCGTATAAATAAACTTCACTCGTTTTTATAAATATTTTAGATAGGAATTTTGTCCTAATAATGTTTGAAATACGCTGTAGCAGGGTGGGAACATTGAACATTGCAATCTGTCCTGGCATTGTTTCGGAAGAGGCCTGGACCTTAGATGACGATCAAAGCTTTTTCCTTCTGGGGATTTTAATGTATGTGCACCTCAGCTTCAAAATGCAGGTGCAGTAAAGCCACATAATACTTCTGTGATGGTAGGAATAGAACTTAATATTTAACCTGTATCACCTGAAGATATTTAGCTTTATTTATTATTTGACTAATTTTTCATGAATTATTAATGAAGGCAGGTAGTAAAGTTAATGGTAGATATCTGATTATGGTTATAAGTTTTCTTTGGCTGCTGGATCACCACCTCATAGAATTCAGGATCAGAGAGGCAACTTTCATGTAAATAAGATTTGAAAAATATAAATGAAGGGCTAGATAAATGTCAGGAAAGAACTATTTTCTCTAATATGGCATTTACTATTTTATATTGCAATTATTTATGTAACTGCTTTCCTCAGAAGACTAGAGTGGTTGAGAGCATAAACTTGGTATCTAGCACAATGCCTGGTACACGGGGGACAGTCAGTAAACTGCCTGGTACTCAGGCGACAGTCAATAAACGTAGCATTTCCTCTGCCCTTTGAGATGTGGTTGTGCTTAGGTTTTGATCTGCCTTGACTATGAAATGACCAGCACCCTATTACTCACTCAGAGACTTGGAAGAGGCCTTGGAGATGGGTGTGGACTGGTCGCTAAGAGAAGGCTACGCCTGGGCTGAAGACAAGGAGCACTGTGAGGAGTATGGAAGAATGCTGCAAGCCGACCCCAATAAGGTCTCTTCGAGGGCCAAAAAGAGAGGTCTTCCTCAGGTAACACTCACGTTGGAGGGGAAACGTGTTCATATTTTTCATAATTTGGTTTTGGTGGTGGAGAAAAGTGTTTTCTGTGTTAGAAATTACCTCCCCAGGTTTTTTCACAGTATATCAAAACGAGCACAAATTTGTTTGTTTATGCTTTGTTCTTACTCTTTTAAAAAGCTATCAGGAGCTCGTCGGTGTTCATAAGATAAAACAAGATATGAATTAGAAGTGGATGGGAGAAAATGGGATCAGGCATTAAATGTATATTAAACTTGCATATGTGCATACTTTGACAATCTAAGATTTGGCTGAAAGTATTCTCATGTCTAAGGCAAAAAGATGCCTTGTCATTTCATGATGTCCATGAGATAAGAGTATACCAGATATTTTAAACTTACAGCTAATTTTGAAAGCTTTGCTATTAAATCACTGTGACCTTGGGCAAGTCTCTTTTGCCTACCTGGGTCTCATTTCCATATCTGAAAACTGGGATAGTTAAAGCTAGGCAACTCCTAAAAACTCTTCGAGCACTGCCCTCTGGCTCCCCAAGTTATCTGTTACCTCCAGTTAAGGGACATACGCTTTCAGTGTTGGATAATGGTGTCAGTGAACTCATAGATGTTCATCCCAAGATTTGACCCTTCTCTCAATGATGTTTAAAATGTCCTTTGAGTCATTTAATGTTATGGGTTTTGGTTTATGGAGCTTTTGATATGTGTGTACCTCAAGCAGATAATGATACAATAAACTTCAGGAGCTGCTTTGTCTTATTTCTGTTGTGTGAAATACTGCTTTAAATAAGTAAAGTATCTCTAAGGTTTAGAAGTATTTTTGTACATAAAACAATATTTGTATGACTTTTTTGTTTGTTTTTGTTATTGGTTGTTTTTTACCTGTTTGCTTTTTAAATGGATTTTTAAAAAATCAGAATAGAATCTATTTTATCAGACATTATTATATTTGCAGTTGGGGACGCTGGGGGCAGGTAACCACTATGCAGAAATCCAGGTTGTGGATGAGATTTTCAATGACTATGCTGCTAAGAAGATGGGCATTGACCATAAAGGACAGGTGTGTGTGATGATCCACAGTGGAAGCAGAGGCTTGGGCCACCAAGTAGCCACAGGTATATTCTGGACCTAATTTTTGGTGTGGTGCAAACATACATTTTATGGGAAACCATATAGAGATTTAAGAAAGAAAGCTCTGAAACTATACTGTGTAAGATTTACCCTGGTTCTTCTAACTAGACCTCAAACAAATTAACTTCACTGGGCTTTAACTTCCTTGTCTGAAAAAAAGGGAAATAATAATTATTTCATATGGTGTCATAGATTAAATGAAGTAACATATGTAAAGTACTTACATCAGTGTCTGATGCTTATTAGTACTCAATAAATATTGGCTCCAGTTACTTTGTTTACTCTTCCTGTTATCTGACCGAGAAAGAACAAGAAGAACCTTAAGTTGTAGAGTTTATGTTGTACACATTAATTCAGCAGATATGTCTTAGATACCTGTATTGATTAGGTGTCACAGTGGATTCGGTGATGGAATAGGCAAGGACTCTGTCCTCACATTGTCTCATAAAAGAGATGCAACGTTCATTTAAAAAAGAGTAAAGACAGAAGGTAGTGATTGGTTATTATAGAAGAGACAAAGGAAAAACGTTTCGGGGATTTAGAGATGGTTTCGTGAACACATAATGTTTGCAGTTGGGACAGTCATACACAAAGGACATTGATGACCAAGAGAGAGCATGAACAAAAGCAGGAGGCAGGGGCCCTGGCCAGTTTGGCTCGGCGGTTGGAGCATTGGCCTGTGGACCAGAGAGTCCCCGCCAGGGGCACGTACCAAAAAAAAAAAGTAGGAGGCAGGGAAATAGTAAGATCTCTCTGAATAATTTGTAGGTTGTGTGAAAGGGTTTATGAATATATGAAAAGTTACAGAGACATGGAAGTTATTATAAACTTTAAATTGCATATTATAGTTCATTCTTGTATACACATTTCATCCTGTGGGAATTTAATTGTTTGTGCTAGCCTGGCCCATTAGAACATGTCATCTATCAAATATATGGACCATTGACTAGTATTTCTGAACTTTTTGCTGAGTACTTCTCTACACTTTGTCATGGATTTGATTTTCCTGCAGAAGATCTAGCAACTTGTATCCAGTTCTTTACACTAAGTCACTGAAAATTATTTTTTAAAACCATGATGATAAAATGTATTTACCTCTTCTGTTTTGACTCATTCACATGCCAAGAAGGGAGTAACTGACTCCCAATCTTGTTGTTGCTGTGCATATACATCTCGTTTCCCTTACCAGTTCCTAGAGGGAGGATGTTATCCTCTTAGTTTGTGTCGCAGGTCTGACAGAAAAGAACCAGTAATATATCATCACAAATAGATGAACCCAGAAACACTTCAAAGGGAAAGTTGTGTTTTACTTGTTTTTTTGTTTGTTTGTTTTATAGAATGTGTTTAAATATAGCCCAGCTTTCTTCAATAAACCTGAATTATTTAAGGAAATCTGGCTGGTTTGGACTTGTTACTCTCTTGTTCCAGATGCCCTGGTTGCTATGGAAAAAGCCATGAAGAGAGACAAGATTATAGTCAATGACCGTCAGTTGGCTTGTGCTCGAATCGCTTCTCCAGAGGGTCAGGACTACCTAAAGGGAATGGCAGCGGCTGGGAACTATGCCTGGGTCAACCGCTCTTCCATGACCTTCTTGACCCGTCAGGTACTTGAAGTTGCATGATGAAGTTAACGTGCTTTGAAACAGTGTAGTCAAATCAGAGCCTGTAAATTTTGGTTTTGAAATTTTATATAATAAATATTCAAAATACTGGTATCTCCTTGAAATAAATAAGCAGAGTATCAGGTGGGAATGAGGGAAGAAGAAAGGCAACATTATACCTGGAATTTTCCTTGAGTAGCAGAGAGGCTAGAAGTGCCATTCACTAAGATTCAAAGGGCTGAGGAAGAATCAGTTCTGAAGGGTGGGGTCGAGTAGCCAGGCGAGGAGGGGGTCAGTGGGGAAAAGGGGGACATCTGTAATACTTTGAACAATAAAAAAAAATTAGCCAAGCAGCTTTTCAGCCAAAGTTGGAATTTAGGAAATGTAATTTCTTTGTGGTCTAAATGACGGATTTTGTCCTTTTTGTGAAGATTAATAATACTGCTATTTTTGAACTCTTAAATCCCTCACTCCCCTGAGTAACAGACTAGCTGGAATCGGTAAGATAAATTCGGAAGAGCTGGTTCTGGCTGCGTTTAACTTAAACTTTTTCTCTTAGGCTTTTGCCAAGGTCTTCAACACAACCCCTGATGACTTGGACCTGCACGTGATCTATGACGTTTCTCACAATATCGCCAAGGTGGAACAGCATGTGGTGGACGGAAAGGAGCGGACCCTGTTAGTACACCGAAAGGGGTCCACCCGAGCTTTCCCTCCTCACCACCCTCTCATTGCCGTTGACTACCAAGTACGTGCTAAGTCATCTGGTTTCTGGCAGTGGGTGCATGACGCGGGTAGTTCTAAATACAGTGAATTTAAACAGGAAAGCAGCATTCGTGGGAAGGAAATCTCATCCATGAGAACAGGGATTTCTCATCTCTGAACAGAGATTTCACCCTCAAACATCTGTACTTTAGGATTATCTTTGAATCATTGGAAGATAGGATTAAGATTAAACTCAAACCCTGGCCAGTTTGGCTCAGCAGTTAGACTGGCAACCCCTGGACCAAAGAGTCACAGGTTCAATTCCCGGTCAAGGGCACATACCTTGGTTCCAGATTCGATCCCCAACACCAGTTGCTGTCATGCAGGAGGCAACCAATTGATGTCTCTCTCGCATCAGTGTTTCTCTTGTCTCATTCTCTCTCCATCCCTCCCTCCCATTTATCTGAAAAGTCATTGAAAAAAATATCCTTGGGTGAGTATTAAAAGAAAAAAAATTAAACTCAATGTTTTATTCATTTTTCTCCTTTTGGTATATGACTGATGGAGTTAGGAAGACCCTTAACCTACTCCCATTTCACAGATGAGGAAACTGAAGCCTGAGGAGGGCAGGCGCTCACTCAGGATGGCTCTTCCAGATAACCTTTCCTGAAAGCTTTGCCCTTGCATGGTCTTCCTTCTGCCTTCCCGGCCCTCACGTTTTCATTCCCTTCATCTTTCCTCCCGTCTCGATTGTCAAAGAATCAAAATAATGTCAATAAAGGTGTGAGAGAAATGCATTTAGAGGCTCAGATTTCTCCCACAATCCTCTAGTGCAAGAGGAAATTTAAATCTCAGACATAAGAAGCTCGTGCTGTTCTAAATTTTAACATGTTTGATTTGTGTGCATCCTCAGCTCACTGGACAACCAGTGCTCATTGGTGGCACCATGGGAACCTGTAGTTATGTTCTTACTGGCACTGAACAGGGCATGACTGAGACCTTTGGAACAACCTGTCATGGAGCGGTAAGGAAAACAAAAACTTACTTAGAAATGCTCTTCTATTTGGTCATTGTTTTGCATTTTGACAGGTAAATGTACTTGATTGAGCATTTGAGTCTTGTCTTCTACCTAATTTATTCCCATAATATATACTGTCTGGTGAACCAACTGAGGTCATCAAGTATCTCTACCAGCAGGGTCATTGTCAGGCCAGTAACGGTTTCTCATCTCTGCAGGTCCACAAAGTCCAGGCTGAGAAATTATCACAGTAGCATAGCTGGTACAAGTGTAACTAGTGCACATTTACTTCACTAGTTATCTCGTTCACCAGACCTAATCATTTGCATAATTTGCTCCTTACTGTGTGGGTCCACTCAAGATTTAGGAGATGTTCCCTGTTTGCAAATCAGAGCCCTTGGGTGGACTGCACAACTATATCAACATATTGCCTCTTCTAAGCCAGGGGTTGGTAAACTCCTGTAAAGCACCAGACAGTAAATATTTTAGGCTTTGGATGCTGTATAGTCTCTGCAGCAGCTGTTCCATTATGTCATTGTAGTGAAAAAGCCGCCATAGACGGTACATAAACAAATGGGCATTGCTGTGTTCCAATAAAACTTTATTTACAAAAACAGCTGTGGTGGGCCAGATTTGGCTCACAAACCAGTTTACCAAGCCCTGTTCTGATCCACCAGAGTGCTTAGCTAGTGATATAGTAGAAAATAGAAACTGTCTAGAATACTTTTCCATAGCACAGATTGTGACAAATATGTTTTAATCTTACTTTTTTCTCTGGTCCTTTTTCATTTCCAGCTGCCTCCCAGCTCCTAATTTTAACCCAGTGATCAGAATCAGTGTGATGTCTCACACATAAGCAAGCAATGTCTTGGGGCACTTTTGGTTGTCACACTTGGGGAAGGGAGTTTTGCTGCTGGCATCTATGGGTGGAAGTCAGGCATACTGATAAACACCCTGCAATGTACAGGACAGTCCCCACAACAAAAAATTACGTGATTCAAAATGTCAGTAATACTAAGGTTAACAAAATGTTTTAAATTACAAAGAGTACAAAGCATTTGTGAGGGGAACGTGATAACCACCACACCACGGAAACCGCCAGCAAAGCTTTTGTGATAGCAGACACACTGTTACCATTAAATGTTAACATATTTATATTGAACTGATAATGGGTGGTAATTACAAACAGAAAACTAAATCTTTAAATACTAAATGCTTTATATAGATAGAAATTTGTTTTCCAAAGGATGTGATGGGGCTTATAACAAAAGGCTTATAGTAAGGTTGATAAAATAGTAGTTCAGAATTGTCTTTTAACTCCTTTTTTAGTTTAAAAAGAAGTCAAGGAAAGGGCATATAATCCTTGGAATTTAAATAATTGCTGGGATTGAACATAAATTATAGCTCAGGATTTATAAAGTGAAGTTCATTCCTTTCCCAATCTAGGGCCGTGCACTGTCCCGAGCAAAATCTCGACGTAATTTAGATTTCCAGGATGTCCTAGACAAATTGGCAGACATGGGAATCGCAATTCGTGTTGCCTCACCCAAACTGGTTATGGAAGAGGTAAGTGACAAAGTGACTTTTTAACAGCTTAATTTTTCCCCTGATTTTAAGAACAACACATGTTTAATTAAGAGGTTTTAGAAAATACAAAACAGAAAACATCTAGAATTTCGCCAACCAGAGATAACCATAATTAACATTTGGTATATTTTTTACTTTGTGTTTTACAATATTATTAAACACCTGCTTTAGTTAGGTACTAACGGTGTTGGGAATACTGCAGTGAGCAAAACTAGCATAAATCCCTCCTTGTGACACCCAAGTGGTGAAGCCGTAGCACGTTAGATGACGGTAAGTGCCACAGAGTGCTAGCGGGAAGGGGTACGGAGAGATGGGGAGCGGTGCGGTTTCAGATAGGGTGCAGCAAGGTGCCGTTTGGGTGAAGAGCTGAGAGGCGTGAGGGAACGGCTGTGTGGCATCTGAGGGCAGCTTTCCAGGCGGAGAGAACAGCAGGTACAAACATGCAGGCGAGATGTGCTTGAATGGTCAGGAAACAACAGGGAGGCCGCTGTGAGCAGCCACGTCAGACAGGCGGGGGCGCCGGATTGTGTGCGTCCTTGCGTTTTCTTTTACGAAAGGGCTTTTGCTCTTGCTCTGAGTGAGATGATGGGAAGACATTGGAGAGTTTTGAGCAGAAGATAACATGGACTCTGGCTAATGTGTTTCCATGCTGAGAAGAATCTAAAGAAGAAATTGATGATGCAGAAAAAGGGGGGAATTACTGAGCAGTGTACTTAAATAGATGAGAGGAAATGGGGTCTGGTGTACAAGTAGGTGGGGTTGGTCTTCAGTAGGAGCTCAGATCGTTCATCTTTCTAAAAGGAGAGAAGGTATGAATGCATATAGGAAAGAAGTTACAGTGAGAGTCTGGAGACTATTCTGGTTGTTTTTAGTTTTTCAGTGTAATAGGAAGTAGGGCCAGCAACTGAGTAAGGATGCAGGAGAAGGTAGGAAATAATCGCCTGAGAGAAAGAGTGGTTTAGTGAAATTCTGGGTAATTGCCAGGACAGCACTACTTGAGCTAAATTCAGTGGTTGTGTGCTGACAAGTACATTTAGATGGAGAGGAGCAAACATGAAATACAGTTGGGTTACCTTTAACCAGGGTTGCAAGTGTACAGCACAGTGAAAAAGAAGCAAGATTGTTGAGGGTGTTGCTAAGGGATTGTAGGTCTCATGGGGTTGAAGGGTTATCAGAGATGGAACATGAGAGGAGTGAGCTGGAAACCCAGGTTGTGATCACCAGCCTGGGGTGCTTGAAACAGATAATGAAGGACTTGTGTCATTGGTAATGACAAGTTCTGGGGGATGAGCCAGGGAGTGAATGGCTGGGGCAGCATTGAAGGAGCAGAAATCAATAAACCAAGGAGCCAAGGTACTGCAAGGATTCTCTTCCTCGATACTGAAATCAGTCAGAATTATAGCGAGAGAGTGACAGTGAGCCTGGAGCTAGAAATCTTCACGTAATGATGGGGAGTGATGCAGACTCAAGCAGATGATTGCAACAAGAAAGGGTAGGTGGTAATAAATGATGACTGCAAGATTCAAACCTGGAAGTGTTTGGGGAGGAAGGAAGGAGAATGGTCTGGAAAGAACCATGAAGAGCAAGGACACCTGTCACACTTCTCAGCCTAATTGCTTGACCCAGCTGCAGAGGGAAATCAGCTGCCACTTCAGAAAGTTGGAGGCAGAAGTAACATCCTCGGGGGAAATCCACGTTTCGGCCAGAACAAAAGGGTGAGGGGAATGTTTAAGGAAGGGAAGAGGGAAAGGGGTCTGCATTCGACTCAGTGGAAGCAGTTTCAGAGGCCACAGTGGCAAAGTCTCAGAAATCAGAAGATAACAGGAGAGGGCCCAGAAAGGATCATGTACAGAGCGGTATGGGAATCAGTCTGGGAGACCTGAGCTTTCTGGGTTGACTTGAATGGAGATAAAGGGTGTGTGTGATGAGATTCATTCGAGTGGTAGCAAGACAGTGAGTGTGGGTAGGAAGGGAAGACGGAGGTCTTGCTAGAAATCCACAGAATTTATGTGTACACGTATATACACATATATGCATACACACACATAGTGTTACATATATGAATCTCATAATTTTCCCTTATTGTGAAAATACATGTTAATTCCAGGAATTTTGACACCTGCAGAAATCAAAGTCTCTAGTAACTCCACCTTCTAAAGATAATTACCTCTGGCAGGATGGTTTGGTGCATTTTCTTCCAGTTGAATGTTAGTGTGCATGTTTTATTCCATTACGTTTACTGCTTTTTTAAGTTATTCAAGTGATACGTGTTTTTTCGGGAACTTTTGCAAAATACAGAAAAAAATATTAAGTCGATAGCATTTATTCTACTACCCCTTTACCAATACGGAATTTAATTAACGTTTTAATCTTTGTTTATGTGATTGGGGGTAGGGAATCTCAGTATTGTTTTAATGTGCATTACCTTAATTACAAGTGAAATTTAAGTAGACTTCACAATGTTTAACCCCCACCCCTGCAGGCTCCCGAGTCCTATAAGAATGTGACAGATGTTGTGAACACCTGCCATGACGCTGGAATCAGCAAGAAGGCCATTAAACTGAGACCGATTGCTGTCATCAAAGGGTAGAGCCCTGACTGTGGCCACCAGACTCCAGTGACCCTTACTGAAGTGGAAGTGGACTGAAATGCTCTTTAGACATCAAGATCCAGAGACCTGACAGGTTCCCACGTGTGCAGCAGTAACTGCCCAGCGAAATGGCTGACAGGGAGGCTGGCTGCCGCTCCAGGAGCCACTGTTATAAATTACCTTCTGGGAGGAGTCACATGGTCCCCATGTGGAAAGGGATGTATATGCTTCCTCCCTGGTTATCCCACAGAGTTTTAGGAAAATCTATTAGGGGGTGGGAATAGTTCAAGAAACTGCCTTACTCGGTCACACAGTCTTTAATCATCAGAATGAACTTCTTTACACCAAGTTCTCTTTACATCCTGAGAGTGTTATGAAGAACAGTCTATCAAATGAGAAGGTTTTAGAATGTTTTCTTTCTGCCCTCCTTTTGTCCCTTTGTCCATTCATCCGCCATCTACCCCCTTCCCCTGCACTGAGCAAGATCCTAAATACCACTCTTACTCAGAGGGTGTCCATGGGGTCATGTCAGGATATTAGATGATTGGGTGATGGAACACATTGATGGGGGAATGTGTGTGGCAGTGTAGGAATAGGGACCCAAAAGAAAAAATAATTTGTTGTAGAAATATAAAGCAGTGTTTTGATTTAGCCTGCAAAATAGCATCAGCTGGTATCTGTCATTAATCAAACTTTTCTTGAATAATAACTTGCACAACAGCAGTCATGTCATGGGTGATCAAATTGTTACAAAAGCAAGAAACGACCACATCTGTGATGTTAATGATTGCTGTGTTGACAAGTTGACTAGTCTTGTGCCACCTAATTGGATTTCATGTTATGTGCTGTGACACCTTGAAGATGTTAGAGTTATAGGTTACCAATTCCTCAGTTGAGTCCAAATAGCCAGTAAAAGAGAAAATTCTAATAAAGTTGCCATATGTTGTTTATATTTTGTGCTTAATATTTTATAGCTTAGGACAATTAGTATTTGTACCTCTGTCATTTTGGTAGGTGTTGATGGTCTCTGATTGTCTCCCAGCATGCTCACCCTAAAAAATACTCCTATATCCCTGGCCAGTTTGTCTCAGCGGTTAGAGTGCCGGCCTGTGGACCAGACAGTCCTGGGTTCAGTTTCTGCTGGGGGCACCTACCTTGGTTGCAATTTGTCCCCAGCCCTGGTTGGCGTCATGTGGGTGGCGACCAGTCGATGTGTCTCTCTCACATCAATGTTTCTCTCTCTCTCCCTCCCTTGCGCTCTGTCTGAAGATAAATGCCGAAATGTCCTCGGGTGAGGACAAATTAAAATTTTTTAAACACTTTTATAATTTATCCCTCAACTTAAAACAACCCCCTCCTCCCATTAGAATATCTTCTATATGCTATTTGAAAGGCTGGAGAAAAGCCGACATCCTCTGAGAAATGTGTGATAGGAAATAACAGCACATCTTTACTCTGAGCACTCAGTAACTTAAAATTTTTTTTATGGTAGAGCTTGAAAGTTATCAATAAATAAAAATAAGTTAGGAATCTTAACACAATAATTATAGGTTACTTATGCCTTCAGATTGGACCAGTGACTGTTGTACACAGACGACTTCAGGGTACGAGTTATAGGTGAGTGCTAGGGGCGGGGGGCTTTACAGGTGAGAAACAGGCTCCTGGCGGGTGAGGCAGCACGAGTGTCCGTGTGGGCTTCTGTGCTGGGCTTGCCTGATATGTCATTTGAGACGGACTGAAAGCGAGGATGCCTCTCAAAACTCTGATGTCAGTGCAAGAAATGCTGCAGATTAACTTAAATAGATATATTGAGTTTTATTACACTCTTTAAAAGTTACTCTTCAGGCCCTGGCCAGTTTGGCTCAGCGGTTGGAGTGTCGGCCCGCAGACCGGAGAGTCCCGGGTTCGGTTCCCGCTAAGGGCACGTACTTCGGTTGCAGTTTGTCCCCGGCCCTGGTTGGTCCTGCGGGTGGCAGCCACTCGATGTGTCCCTTCACGTCGATGTTTCTCACTCTCTCTTCCTCCCACTCTATCTGTACAAAAAATGGAAAAATATCCTCGGGTGAGGATTAAAAAAAAAAAAAAGTTGCTCTTCAGGCCCTGGCCAGTTTGGCTCAGCGGTTGGAGTGTCGGCCCGCAGACCAGAGAGTCCCGGGTTCGGTTCCTGCTAGGGGCACGTACAAAAAGTTACCCTTCAGGGAAGTGAGAGGGGAGCAGGTGAGGAGAAGGATGGTTTATGCAGTGGAGTTTCTGTTTTATTAGCTTTTCTTATATGTAGCATTTTCAGTGAGGCTGGCCCTGTATGACCATAGAAAGTAATGGTCACTATTTTGAGTTAAAAAAGAAAGGTGCAAATATTGTTTCCCTTGTCCTAAACATGTTATTCTCCCATTTGAGGCAAAAAGCCACTTTAAGTGTTCAAATGAAGCTGAAGTAACCAGCTGCTTTTATGCCCGGAGTAAAAATACCCAGCATATGCACGTGGGCACAGCCAGGAACACCTTTGATAGGCCCTGTCTGCTTCTTTCAGGCGTGAAGATGAGTCTTAAGCCTATGCCTTTGTAAGGCCTCTAAAGTCAGACCGTTTGTAATTGATATTCTGTATCACAGTGATGATGGTTGTGTCGTTCCTGTTTATCCGCATGTGATTAGGAAAACCAGCTCATGAGACAGACAAAATATGGACACTAATTTTCTAATTTGTGACTATTTCCTGGAAATACAAGGAAGTGAAGGTTTAAATATTGAATAAAATCTTGCAGATCTTAAGACACTCCCACTTTAATCTTCATATAACCTTTGAAAACTTGAACACAAGATAACTGAACATGTTTTTAAGCTTTCCCTATTTTTTCTGCTTAACACTTCTTTTTTTTTATGTTCAGTATCAGGTTTTTCTCCTGTTCCTGAAAATTGCTTGTCAGAGTCATTAATATTGCAGAAACATTTGCAACTTTGCAGAAACATTTGCAACTCTGCACAACTCACACAGTTCATTTTGTCCTTATTTCTTAACTTACATCCTTATTCCTTTTGCATCTGCTCCAGTGCCTGACTACATGGGATTTTATGTTATCCAGAAAGTGTGACTACTGCCCATCTCAATCCGTTGAGTATGAAGATGCTGTTAATTATCATGTGGGCACCATCCAGTATGCCAAGTTGTTAGGCTAGATTCTGATCTTCAGAAGCTCTTGTTCTAGCCCGGCTGGTGTGGCTCAGTGGTTGAGCGTTGACCCATGCACCAAGAGGTCATCAGTTCAGTTCCCGGTCGGGGCACATGCCCAGGTTGTGGGTCAAATCCCCAAGGGGGGGCATGCAGGAGGTGGCCAGTTGATGTTCTCTGTCATCAATGATGTTTCTCTCTCTCCCTCTCCTTTCCTCTCTCTCTCAAATCAGTGAAGGGGGAAAAAAAAGCTCGTGTTTAAAAAAAAAAAAGAAAGGTCTTGCTCTAAAACTAACATTTGAAACACCAGTGATCTGAGAAGATAATGTCACCGAGAAGTGCATAGTGATTTAAGTTGTACTTTGCAAGAGGTAGTAAATGAACAAAGTGCCTAGCGCTCGGTGGTCACAAGGACCCTGACTAATGGTGGGACGAGCCATGTCTCCTGCTGGAAGGCAGACAGGAACACGTCACCATCCGAGATGTTTGTCGAGAATACATGGCCTGAGTCTGATCATAGCAAACATCAGAGGGACCCTCCTGCAGAATGAAGAGGGTCATCCTGCAGGTTGAAGGCCTGGACACTCGAAACCAACAAGGAGATGAAAAACCAGGGAGAGGCAGACAAACCGTTCCAGAGTCTGAAAAGACATGACAACTATATGCAATATATATTCTAGTTAGGATTCTGGACCAAAATGGAAAAACACCTTGTTGGGTCTTTTGGTGAAATTGGAAGAGACTCTATAAATGGGTCAGCCGTGATATGCCAAAGTTGATTTCTTGATGGTGGTTATGTAGGGTAGCGTCCTTATGTGATATTGTGATTATATAATAAATATATATTTGGTCTCCATCCTGTTTCTGGCAGAGTTCCTAAAACCCTTGGAATTTCCTAAGTGGTAAGAGGAACAAAGGTGTCTTGTTATTCATAGCAAGTCCCTTTCAACTATACCAGATTTTATGTTAATGAGGTGATTTTTGGAAAGTCCCTAAGGATAGGGGTTGGTTGCTGGGAGAACCAACCTTGTGATTAGAGGGTTGGAACTTTCAGCCCCACCTCTGACCTCCAGGGAGTGGAGAAGGACTGGAGATGAACTTCAGTCACCAGTGACCAATTATTTAATCAACTGTGCCTATGTAATGAACCTCCATAAAAACCCAAAGGATGAAGTTCAGAGAGTTTCCAGTTTGATGAACCAGAACGCATCCCTATGCCCAGAGGGTGACACACCCCACACTTAAGGCACAGAAGTTCCTGTGTTTGGGACCCTTCCAGACCTACCCCTATGTATCTCTTCATGTGGCTGTTCATTTACATTAATATCCTTTGTAATAAATTGGTAATCTAGTTAAGTAAACTGGTTTCCTTAGTACTGTGAGCCATTCTAGCAAAGTAATCAAACCCAAGGAAGGGATCACGGGAACCTTGAATTTATAGTAACTCAGTCAAGAGCACAGGTAACAGTTACCTAGACTCAGATGGTGGCTGAAGTCTTTTGGGACTGAGCCCTTAACCTGTGGGATCTGAGTCTATCTCCAGATCAGTGGTGTCAGAATTGAGTTAAATTGGACACGCAGCCAGTGTCCTCTAAAAATTTGAGAACTGCTTGGAAAAAATAAATGTCGGACCTTGTTTGGAAGAAGTGAATGCTCTAAGGGTGATGGGACCTCTTGTTTAAAGATTCAGAAAACTAACAATAATTAGTACTTAATTATTCAGAGTGGACAAATGCAGTAAAATATAAACAATAGGGGAATGTGGGTAAATCAGGGTATGGGAGTTATCTATACTGGTAACTGTAATGTAAGTTTGAAATAAATTAAAAATAGATTGGGGGGGGGGGGTCTGGCCGGTGTGGCTCAGTGGACTGAGCGTGGTCCCACAGACTGAGAAGTCCTGGTTCGATTCCCAGTCGGCACATGCCCAGGCTGTGGGCTCCATCCCCAGTAGGGGGCGTGCAGGAGGCAGCTGATTAATGTTTCTCTTTCTCTCCCTCAGAAAATCAATGAAAACATTTTAAAAAATAAATACGTAGGTAACTTTTTTAAAAGAATAATAATCTCGCCCTGGCCAGTTTGGCTTAGCGGTTAGATTGTCGGCCTGCAGTCTTGAGAGACCTGGGTTCGCTTCGGCTAGGGGCACGTACCTTGGTTGCAGTTTGTCCCCAGCCCTGGTTGGTCCTGCGTGGCAGCCACTTGATGTGTTTTCTTTCACGTCAATGTTTCTCTCTCTCTCTCTCTCTCTCTCTC